CCTAGCGAGTCAACGTGATGTCATCTTCGGCCTCACTCTGGCCGGGGTACATGACAACCGGGATCATCATCTGCGTTGTTACAGAGGCATCATGAGCTTGTTCCATCAAGTTTATTTGATACTCGGAGATCATCGTCGCTTCGAGCGTTAAGTATCTCTTTCTGAGAGCTAATTTCTTTTGGCAATGTTTTAAGACGTCGTAGCCTCGCGCGCTGTGGGCTAAGCTGTCCAAGGCTGCCCTGCAAATTTTTGCAACAACTCATCAACCTTCAAAGGCTTGAGACGATAGTTCGAATGCGCCTCGGTAATAGATAATGTCTGAGATCGACTCCTAGCCTTCTAATTCTCCTCGATGTAGCGTTGGTGTTTCTCAGTAGATTTGTGGGTGATGATAATTGGATTATTAAGCGTGGTTAAAGCACGCAAGACTGTTAGCATTTGAGCTATGCTTCATTCTGGAAATGGGTTCGGAGCTGTCCGCAAAGGCTCGCTTGACGCTGACGTGGAAAGTTCGGTGTCTTCACCCTCTTCTGTACAGTATCAATGTCATCATTAACGATGTTTCCTTTTCGTATGATGTCTTCCGAAGACTCGGAGGAATGTGGAGACTTCGTTATTGATGCGCAAGGTGTCGTGAATAAAGCCATGAGTTTACCTGTCCTCTCCGAGCTATATCAATGAGTTTGCTGGAGTATGTTGGTACCAAGCATCAATTTTATAGTGAAAGAGGGTGATTTGAAATTGCATAAATGATTGTGACAACCAAGCTGGTGTGGCACACACAGAAATAGACCAGTGTCACTAATAGTCGTACGATTGTGTCACACACGCGAAGCGGTTATACCATTTCCATCCTATTATACATAGATAGTACCCATCGTGATAGGGTTTTTATAGCGGCGACGTAATTCTGGTGTGGCTTACAAGAAGAACTACCATGAGGACTACTCGATTAGGTAGCATAGTGTTAAGATTAAAGATGTAAGTGAGGTTTTTTATCGATTTAAATCAGTAATTGTATTTTGTTTACTAACTGATAAGTTTTAGATACGTGGCCTCGAAAGACGTCTCTGGTCGTAAAATTTAATGCCTAAATTAGATCTAATTAATGTAGGGCATTTGTGCCACTTCAATTTTAGGAGTCGTAGTTTCCTAAAACAGAAACAGGGCTCACGAGCTTATTAGGATACTAAGAGAAAAGTCTAACGAAATTTTGCAAGACTCGTGACCCTTTTAGCCAGTACCCGCTTGTTTTGATGAACTAAGAGACTCTACGAGTCTAAATGTCTTCCCCTGACTAAGAAGTTTAGGTAGATTTGCTACAATGGAAGATCTTTCACACACTTGTACGCTATTCACTTAGTTTGCGGCTATCCACTTGTTCATTAAGCGCTATACTTATTCCTTAGGTCCCCCTTATGCAAAATAGCGCTAAAGAAAGTACTGGCTAAATTCGTCACATTATACTTTTTACGGCATCTCTCAGATAGTTAGTCGGTGGAAGGCATGGTTATTCAGCTGTTCACCCGTCACTGATTACCGGTTTTCGACCTCCTTATAAGTCCGATACAGTTTGGACCGGAGGGGGAATCGAACTCGCAATCAGCGACTTGAAAGTCAGCCTACTGCGCCACTACGCCAGAATTTCACCCCTAGGAGATAGTACTGGGTACATCCAATGGCTGTAAAGTAAGATGGGGAGCAACTTCTGGCGCTCGCACTTCGATACAAGCAATCCAATTCGGAGAGCTGAATCAAGTTAAAAACACTATTTAACAGCAGCAGTCACTGAAGAAGGAGTGTGATGCTATTAAAGTTTGTACTAACCCCAGTATAGTAGGCTAGGGCTATGCGATCAGCTTTTGTTGATGAGCGTCTAGCATGTCTATGTGGCCATATTCACCTACGGTCGATTATAAGCCAATCACGTACGTGCTTTACAAATGTACCTAGCCGTAGGGTGACACCTATCATGCTAATCGGCCTATGAGGATAGACATGCTGGATCGTATTTAGTAGGAGCATGGTGCACTTATCTGCTGTTTTGACATAGAATGACAAATTAGTACGACTAAAATGTACGGCATTTAACCTTGTGCACACTCGCTGTAACGGGGCACTGGTCACTAGCACTACTTCAGTACTGGTGCACCTACACTGAAAACAGTGTAGGTAGTGCCGCGCGTCAAGTCACTTATACCGTACATGCAGGGGATGGCTAGCTTGTGAACGAAGCGTTTAGTAGTTGTAGTAGTAGTAGTAAGTAACATTGTATGAATATAACTAAGTCCTAATTGCACGTACTATTAGTAATCCTAACTTTATCATTTTTATCTACAAAAGTGCATGCTAAGGTCTTTCTCACCACTCATTGTGCGCGTCCGTCGTCGATCGGACCGCTAGGTCTGGCCGTATGATGACCCATTTCAGCTAACCGGTGAGTGTTTCTGAATATTGCCTTTCATGGCAATATTCACGAACATCATCATCCTTTATGATAATAAATTAGTAAACGAGTATCAAGGCTAATTACAAGTATCAGAAATGCTCTTTGAGACATCACTCAATACCGTGCTCTATCATTGGCTGAGCCCAGTCGAGTTTAAATGCAGCGCGCCTGAGTTTTTAAATCGGAAAGATTTTGTAGAAACAAACATAGAAACGCAATGTCAAATGATATTTTTTTAATATTCTCCATCTCGATATTCTTCACGCCACAACCTTAAAACTATCGGATCGCGGAATCACCTTACTAGAAGAAAGTCACGTGGTGGTATAACCCTACTCACCTCTCGCTGTTGGATGTAGACAAAGCTTCGCTGCTTATGTTTCAGTTTATAGTGAAGGAAGTAGCTGATACTTTTCTTAAAACAATTACTTCCATCACACTTGCACTGAATTCTTTCGCTGGCTTTGCCTTACTCTCTTCATTAATGTGCTAGAAAATAATTACATTTGCCGTGGGGTGGTTAAATGTGAGCAATTTGAAAAAAAAAGATCAAGGTCAGTGTACTTTACTCATTTCGAGGTATTTGTTTCCACCGTCGATTAGGGCCACTCCTAGCTGCTCGGGTTTTGGTGTATCGTGAAGAAAGTAATGAATTAAATTACCACGCGTCGCCGATCTAAAGACAAGCGGAAGAATGTTCAAATGAGGAACGTAGTTGTCTGGAAACTTGATCATAAATTATATCTGAGCCGATGACAATTTTTATCTTGCTGTTTAAGTGGCAAAAATTGAACTAAAAACTCGGTTATATATAAGGATGGTGGGAGGTAAACGAAACCCGTGTGGGTAATAAGCGAACCCCTGCTGGGTGGTTTGCGAAAAACCTGTTGGGTGGTAAACGTTTCCCTACTAGAATAATGTAAACGAAGAGGTATCACGTAATAGCCTCGACTCTTGTCGAGAAATGGGACGTACTAACCGGTACGTGATGGACCCATTTTTGAGCTCGTTTGGCGTGTCCTCGAAAATTGATTGCCGATAACTCCTGTCAATCAAGGTCACCTCAAATCGCTGTACTCTCGTGACCATGGAACTGCGGCACCGGGCAAAAGGCGCCACGAAAAAGAGCGCACGTGGCCTCGACGTGGCGCTCGGTCCCACTATCTACAGTGGCGAGCGCTACTCCAAGATGAGCGAGAGGCTTAGACGACAGCAGAAGAACCCGTCCGACGTCGCTGACGCGAGTGCGCAGCGGGTGCGTCGTCCATTAACAGACGCCTATTTGATATGCTTGAAGCCAGTTCTTGCTGACGCCGCACGTTTCTCTGGTGTTTCCCCTGCGTTCTCCTCAACAGATACTACGCTCACAAGTGATTATGTTCGTGGTAGCGCTCGTCTTCGTCTTGTCGTTGGTGTTTTCGATGATGTACCGAGCGCACGTCCGTCGGTCCAACCGCGAGCCTTTCGACGTGTAACGTCCGTTGCTTTCGAACGGCCGAACGCCTGATGACAGTTCAGCCGCACGTTACTGAAGGGGGTTCTGATCATGTTAACAGACCTGCACGCTCGATGATAAACGTGCCTTTTCTTTTGCCTGCCTTCGGCAAAAGGTCGCGCTTCTGTGGGGGGGGGGGACGGAAGAGAGACGGTCGTGCGCGGCACGTCTTCCTGCGTTTAATCTCGTGGGTGCAATGCTAACAACATGTACCGCAAAAATGTCGAACCAGATGAAAAAGCCGAATTAAATATTAAGAAGAGCAGACGGCAATCGCGACTTTACAATATCAAATCAATCTGTATCAGCCACGAAACCTGCTCGACTTCAGCAACACTAGTCCCAGTGTCAGTCAGCGCCAAGAAGCGAGAACTTCAAGCGACTGGTTTCAAACCCGATGGCTTCCTTCTTCCGAAACCGGAAATCCTTGTCAACCGCGAGCACAATTTACGCACGAGGGTCGTGCGAAGGTCCCGCAGTTCTTTGTCCACACACAACAGCTAGCTGACAACCTTCTTTGATCACGGACGAGGACGTGATGCCAAACTGGTTCGCGTCTGCACATGAGCAACTGCAGCTCCGAGCACCAGAAATACGCCCCGCTTCGGACGCAAAGCTAGCGCCACTGGATAAGTGGCCGTCATCTTTAAGCTGAGTGTCACAAAATGACCTTTTTTAAAGTGACATTGCTGCTGAGTGGATCGACGCATCGTTGCGGATGCAGTCGTTAACCTAAAACAGCTGCAGTAAAAGAAAAGGGAGCTGACAAAAAGCACAACTCGAACGTGTCTCAGATCGTCGTTGGCTGCGAGGCGGCACATAGTCGCTGTCAGCGAAGGTGAGCTCTCGACAGCTGGCGTAGATTGACACACTTTCTCTCATAATCACGCGTGCCGCACAGACGACTTTCACGAACACTGACAGTGCAACAGATAGTATCAATGCAACTTGGCGAAATGTAATTAGATGACTGATACGCCTACATACGTCACACTCCAAGCACTTACTCATACATGCCACGACCGCTGGCTATTTGTACAGCCATAGCAGCAATCTCTAATCACGACGACCAAAGTCCTGCGTCCAGTACGTCTTATAGCCATTGCAACCCCTGTTGACGACCTTGGCAAACCCGACGTTGATCACGTCGGGATCCAAAAGGTTCGCGCGGTGATCTGGCGAGTTCTGCCACGACGTCATCACAGACTCCACGCTCGTCTGGCCGGCGGCCACATTCTCCGTCACCACCGCAAAATCGTAGCCTTGTGCACTGATGCGGCCACCCAATGACTGACCGTTCGAGCTCGCGTGCGTCATCTGGTATCGCCTCGCCTGGTCTTGAGATTGTGAAGCGGACGCTGCCACCAACTGTCTGTCAATAGTGAGTGCACCGAGACCGTTCTGCGCACGAAAGGTATTGATGCGTCGAAGCATCTCGTTCATTTCAGCAGCGGTGAGGCCGCTGTTGGGCGAAACTAGAGCCGAAGGCGCTGCTTGGGCTGGAGGGGCTGCTTGACCTGCAGATAGTGCTTGGCCTGCAGATGCTGCTTGGCCTGGGGCTCTTTGTTGGACTTGCGCGTTGCTCGAGACCACGTAGCCACAACTTGTGGCCAACTTCTCCGTCTTGGCAGATCGAGCACCGCTCATGAGCCAGCAAGTGCCACCGTTGAGGTTGTTCCATACCCAGTGCGTGCATACCGAGTCGCCTGCACACGCACTGCCACACCTGGGTGGGATGGCCTCCCGCGCCTTGTAGTAGTTTCCGCCAAATCTGCAATTATCTGCCCACATCGCGCCACCACCGTTGCCAAGTTGAACGCCTGCGGTAGCTGGCAAGAACGAGGTTGCAGCGATGGCACTTGTCGTAAGAAGAGCGAAATAGACCATTGGATCGGTAAAACAACAATCGAAAAGTGAGTCTCATAGTGTGCTTGACGTGCGCTCGTAAATTTTTGGTGGCTTTGTGGTGGTCACGTGGCCGCCATAGGCGCATCGCATGGAATATCCCCAGCCGAGAAGACGTTGGTGGTAACCGTCCTTCGAACACCCGATGATTGACGGCACACCACAGGGCTGGGGAATAAGACGATTCTTGGACGAATCCACTGATCCTAACACGGCCAGCATTCACAGGTGAGGATGCCTTGTCGATTTGATGGGATTGGACGTCTAGGTGGTCTTAACGAACTGAGTCTGCTGGCACTGGAATGTATAGACAGCGGCATAAGAATATCGTGTTGCGATTCGTTGCGGATGTGGTACGACAGCGTAAACTATAAGCTGGTAAACAACAGGTGGGGATTACCTGCTGTAACATGTTTCTTCACCTACCACACACACGAACGGACAAGTCTTGTCTTATTCAGCAGAGCAGTGATCGGACATTTTTTTTCCTGCGGAATGCCCGTGTACAGGTAATAGAGCTGTTCGTATGGTCTGAGTGTGCGGTTGCCACGAAATGGCTGCGCTTTTAGTTGATCGCCGGTAGAAACCACACTATGCATACTCGTAAATGGCACGATAAACTGAGCGTCCCTGCAGCTTTAAAGTGAGTCTCACTGGATTGTCATAAGAGTGCTGCAGGTTTGTGTGGTGATGAAAATAATTGTCTGTTTACTCACTGGAAATCATATCTACGCTACTCACATATGACATCTATCTCTAACAATGACGATAAAATTTACACACACGATCAAAAAGGAAAAACAAACTATGGCTTTCCACTGAGCCATGCGTTGTGAACGCGTTCTCTCTTTAATCAAGACTGCCAAAGTCCTGCGTCCAGTAGTTTGCAAAGTTGCCGCATCGGTCGTTCACGACTTTTCCAAATCCGACATTCTTCACGTCTTTGCCCAGAAGGTTGGCGCGGTGACCCGGCGAGTTCCACCACGAAGTCATAACTTCCTCCACGGTCATTTGACCACCCGCCACGTTCTCAGCGGCTGTTTCAAAATCGTATCCTTGTGCTTTGACGCGGTCACCGAGTCTCGAGCCGTTTGAACCAGCATGAGTCATTCTACAGTTGTTGGCCTGGTCCCGTGAGTGCAGAGTAGCCGCCGAAACTAAACGAGAGTCGATGCTGAGTGCTGGCAGACCATGCTGCGCTCGGTAGGCATTGATTCGACCGAGCATTTCGCCCATCTCAGCCGAGGACAGACCGCTACTTGGCGCTGCTTGATCTTGCTTTTGTGCTTGCGAGCTGCGGGACACCATGTAACCGCAGTTCGTGCCCCACTTGGCTATCTTGGATGAACGATTGCCGCTCTTGAACCAACAAGTGCCGCCATTGTAGTGGCTCCAAGCCCAGTGCGTGCAAGCTGCATCACCGGCGCACACGTCGCCACACACATCGGGAATAGCCTTCATCGATGCGTAGTTTTGTCCCTGGAAATCGCAATTGTTTTCCCACATGACGCGTCCTCCGCTTCCAGGCTGAAAACCTAAAACAGTGGGAGCAGTCAAGGCAGCGATGGCGGATACTGCCATGAGTACAATGCTTGCGATGCGAGGCATATTTGGGCGTAAGTGAAGGAGCTGGTGTTGAGGATAAGTCAGAATAGGATCTGGGAGCTGTGCTGGGTCGACTCGTGGCGCGTAAAGTCAACAACGTCCTTCTGTGCAGTGTCAATAGCGGTGGTACCTCTGCCCGTGGAAGAAACATCGGTTGCACATCTGGTACTTGTGTGCGGTCGGCATATCGCAGGCGCAAACATACAGCTGTGGAAGAAAAGCTGTGAAGCAAATAGCAGTCAGGCGATTCTGAGCTTTACATACTCGGTGGAGCAAAAGCATCCATGTTACGTTCTTGCCTGCGCTTTTGTTTTTGATTGGGCCTTGCGTCAAAGGGATAGCTTTAACGTAATCTTTTCTACTGCAGTTCCACGAAGCGTCAAGTCTAAGTCTTTGCAGGGATCGTTTATGTATACGCACGCTTGTGTGCACCTTGTTCGGATGAACGCGTCAGTCGCTGTCGCAATGGCACGTATGGTAAACATCTATCTGCCGACCTGGGCACGTGTAACATCTGCACCACTACAAGGTCAGCACTCATACAAGACCTACAATAAGTTGTTGTTACAGCATCTCCAGTCTTGTACGCTTGGATTTTCTGGAGCGGGCACTGTAGAGGAACGTCATCGCTTTGCAGGGCACGTCAGTCACACCCGTCACCCGGTCGCGCCTTTGCTGCGAGCACACTATACCTGAGCCAAAATCTTATCGCCAGCGTCTATCGTAGCCGATATTGCGCCTGTGAGTAGCGCAGCACAATGTTCGAGTCACACGTTCATGTAAGTCGCATGGAATGGCGGTGCTACCCAAACGAAAGCATTCTACATACGATAGCAATTCGAAGACCAGCCCCTGTGTGAGCACGATCCACATTCTGTACGGGGGATTACCGGCTGAAAGCATGGATCCCGACGATTGCTGTGGACTGCTGTTGGCATCATTTGTCGTCCAAGCTTACTTGGTAAAGGTAGTGCGGCAGACAGCGCGTTAACACGATATCAAACAGATGCTTTTCCTGCAGCTAATTGTCTCACGTAGACGCGAGCTGTGCGGAAATAACATCGAGTGTGCCTTACATTCGACAAACTACACAGCAGGTCAACTACTGGTTCAACGGCGGATACGTAAGGTTGATCCACTCGAGTTGTGTGCAAAGTGCTGTAATACATTCATTTTTCATTGAAGGCACTTGCTCCAATTACCAGCCATCGCCGTGTGTCAGCCGAGCGACTATAAGCATTCCACAACACGCAACTCTGGCCCTTGCTCAGGTCGACTTGCTATCGTTGCAGATGTCGTACTAATGTGGGCACGTAGTCTTGTTACCACCAGCTTCCGGTGCGCAGTTTCCGGTAGGGCTATTTGACGACTTGTTATTATCTCAGGATTCGTGGCTCGACACGTCTAAACAGTGGTCGTCGCTTGACATCGCAAGGGGATTCTAACGCGACGCAGGCTCAAGTAATTATACCACACTGTCATCATTAGCCGAAACTGCCTCTATTCAAGTATGCGAGTGGGGAGCAGGCCAGCTGTGTCACACATCGGAAGTCTAACTTGCACTCAGATAGACACGGATTCGCCTGGCATGTTTGAGGACTATTAGAATTGCTCAACGCACTCATGTAGGAGTAGCGGTTTATACCCAAATTGCTGCACGCCTGGCCGCCCACCGCTACTGTAGCCAGCAATTTTACGTGTGTAGACAATAATGTACGGTACGGCCAGTTCCCAGATGTAACAAAGGCTACAAAACACTGGGTATCGGCGGACGTGACGATAATATTACTTTGAAAGGGAAGATCTGGCACTCTCTGGTATGCGTGCAGAGCTACTGGCGATGGCGGCAATTGCGATTACAGCGTGGCCTTCACGACAACCGAAACAGCACACATCAGTGGAGATGTACGTCTAGCTCATCTTCCGGCGTCCCGTTGTCCCTAACGCCTGCATCGCACGAACGTGTAAGGCTTCGGAGCCTCAAGATTTCATGAATGATTCAAGTGTGTAGTCAGCTGGGGCTAACATGATCGCAAACGTCGGTCTGGAACCGCTGTCGGCTGCGTACATAGATGCAATCGCACAGCTACGCAGAGCTGTAGCAGGCGAGATGTCTGCTAAGTTGGAATGAGAAGGCTACAGCAATACGATAGATATACCCATCTTGGCAGGGGGAGGTCTCGTTTGGGTTAAAGCATGTCGAGTTGAGTGTCTGAGGTACACACGTGTTTTACTTCGTTATCGCTACCCCAGACATAAAACGCTATCCAGTCAAATGCGAACATGAATATCATGATTCAAGCTATCCACCCTCACCCTGAACTTTATCTACTGCTTTATGGGTCACACAACGAAGGTGGAAGCATTAACGACACACTTACATATAGTTTGCTCTTAATGAGCAGAAGATATGGCCTGTAGAAGCCGGTGGGTAGGTCGGCAGCGTGGTAGCTCGAGCAACCCAGATTGCACAGGCTTACGTATCGATTTCCTGACAAATACTCGACTAATCTAGGTTCGTCGGCATGGTGTGTGAGTAGCTCCTCTATCGAACCAAAATACAAGCTTTTCTACGGTGCGATGATCAGCGGCAACAAAGAGGATGCACGCTATCAAACTGCTAGCTTACCGCGTACGTATCACTCAGTCATTTTCATGGGGGGAATAGCCCTATTAGATCACGAAAATAAAAAAGGAATTGATAAGTACACCCACCCTTTGATGCTTACACACCCACCCAACTGTGTGAACTAAACACATGCCTCAAATTGTAACGTAATGCACAAAAAATAAGTTACAAAAGCCAATCAGCTCTGCGATCTTCGATCAGCTTTAACGTGCACACACCCAGTCAAACTGTTTAGAATTTATCATTTGTGTGTTACGTAATGCATAATTTTGTCTATTAAATTAAGGAAATTAATAGGTGCGCACCCCACCATTTGACACGTACACACTCAGACGAGCTGTTTGAAGCAGTAAAAATAAAAAGATGCCCCATTTAATCACGAAAACAAAACTTTATTCTAAATAATTGATAAATAAAATGCCTCACGTCCTAGTAAACCAATCTTAAAGTGGTACACATATAAGCCCACGTCGCCAGTCATTTCTCACTAGTAATTTTTTCTCTCAATCTTGAATGCCGCTCTATAGGAGCAGTCCCGAACGGGGTTCTGCGCGGCCACGTGCCACGATAGGAAGACGTGGCATGTGTTCCTATCATCTTCTGCGGTCTTACTCACAGACTGCATGTGCTGCTACTATTGTTCTAGGATACACTTGTCGAGGAGGCGGATGAATGGATTCTATCATTGTCTTAGTTTATTCGTTTCTTGCTACCGTGATTGACCAGTTGTTCTTTTCTCCATCACTCCTATCCACTCAATCAATCATCCACTATGCTGTCCACTCAATCACTAATCTTCCTACATCTCTCTAAGTCATCAGCCGTTTCTTCAGCCGCTACTTCAACCGTTACTTCAAACTACTTGCATGCTGTATGCTTCTCTCCAACTTCGACACTGCGCTAATCGACTCTCTATGCCATCAAAAAACAAGTGCTGGCCGTTTTGACGCCGGCTCTCACTGGCTCTATCATTTCTAATACTCCTCCTCGAGTGCGCCTGTGTCGTCAACATCTTTTCGTCTACGCCACACTGAGGAGCTTTCTCATCGCTGCGAGCTTTGGCGCGTCGAGGGCTTTTGTCAGTGCGTCGGCAAGCTGTTCGTCTGTGTGGACGTATTGAGCCTTGATCACGCCACGACGCACGAAATCGCACTCAAACTTGACTCGCACGTCGATGTGCTTTGCCTTCATCGATGTCGCTTCGCCGTCGAGCTGTCGTATCGCTGCTTGGTTGTCAACATGAAGCGTCATGGGCAGCTCAGGTGCCATGCCCACCTCACCGAGCATCTCTCGAATGCCGAGAAGTTCTCGTGCAGTCTCCGACGCGGCCACAAACTCGGCCTCCATGGTCGAGAGTGTCACGCCGCCTTGCTTGCGCGACGCCCAGCTGACAGCCATGCCGTTCACGAGCACGACACTGCCAGTTAGGGACTTGCAATGCTCTTGTCCGCGGCGTAATCAGCGTCGCTGTACGCCTCGAGCGTAATTGGAAAGCTCGCGTCATGCGCTGGAGTCATGATCATCTTCAAGGCAGTTGTGCCCTTGAGATAGCGAGCAATACGCTTCGCCAACTTCCAGTCCTTGAGCCGAGGTGCGTGCGTCTGTCGAGTTGCTTTATGCACCGCAAACGCGACATCTGGACGCGTGCAACGTGCTATCCAAAGCAGACTGCCGACGAGCGACTGGAACGACTTCACTGTTGGCTCTCCAGACGACGACAAGACCTTAAGCATCTTCATGTCGCCTTCGTCGGCGTCGTAGCAGTCGGCACTAATTGGTGCGCGCGTCGGGTTCGCCGCCTCGAGGCCGTGCTCGCGCAGCAGGTCCTTGATCGATTCCTCTTGATCAAGCGTGTAGCTTGAGCCGTCACGCGTGACGCGCATTCCCAGAAACTTGCTTACTTCGCCGAGATCCTTAATCGCGAGTGTCGATAAGCTCACAAAGAAGCGATCGACAACTGCAGTGCTGGTGCCGGTCACGAGGAGATCGTCGACGTATGCTCCTACGACGACGAGCTCGGCGCCTTCATTCTTCAAGTACAAACACATGTCCAAGCAACAACGTAGGAAACCGGCATCGGTGAGGCTTGAGTGTAGCAACTGGCTCCACAGGCGTCCCGCCTGCTTTAACCCATATAAGCTCTTCTTGAGCTGCAACACGACACCGTTCTTGTCCTTTGCTCCTAATTGCTGCAACGTCGTGTCGTTCACCTCCATGCCGCGTGGTACTTGAAGCAGGATCTCGAGGTTCGCTTCCTTATTTGCGCGAACGTAGGCATTTGGAATGTCCCCGTGTTTGGCTGGCACGTTCCATGTTGCTGCAAGCGCGATAATAACCTTCACGGTCGACATGTCCATGACGGCCGCGAAGGTGAGCTGGTAGTAGATGCCAAACACCTGTTCATTGCCACATGCGACCAGTCGAGCCTTGTAGCGCTCCAGGTCGCCATGTGCGTCGGTTTTTGTTTTGTAAACCCACTTGCTATGCAGAGCGTTGCTACCGGCAGGGCGCTTGATCACACGCCACACATCGTTCGCTTCGAGCGCTGCGATTTCTTCACGCATCGCTTTTTCCCAGTCGGGACGCTTCGTGCTCCGCATTGCCTCGCTGTAGTTGGTCGGATCACGTTCGTACAGGTGAGCGGCGATGTCGATCGCGCTTGCAGGCTCCTCCTGAGCTGCAGACACTTGAGCACGCTTCGATGCGCTTCGTGTGCCGTGTGCTGTGCGCGTCCACTGCTTCTTCTTCTTCGTAGCATCCTTCGGTGCTTGCGCAATCGCACGTTCGTCCTTATCTGCGTCATCGAGTACGCGCTGCAACCGATCGTTCTGCTCGTCACTGAGCGTTTCAATATTCTTCACGTGTTGTGTGACGACGACGACGTTGTCTTTCTTCAAAAACACGCGGTACCCCTTAGTTTCGTCGCTACGACCGACGATCACTCCCACTTGCGCTCGTTGCTTGAGCGAGTTCTTGCGTGGATCGCGATACACCGTGTAGATCGACCCGAACGCAACGATCTCGCGCAGGTCTGGTGTCTGCTTCGTCAGCATCTGTAGTGGCGACGCGCGGCGTGCATTCGCACTGGTTGGACTTCTATTTAGAACGAATGCAGCGTATTCGACGGCATCTCCCCAGAAATACAGCGGCAAGCGGCTTGCAAAAATCATCGACCGCGCCATGTTAAGCACAGTGCGATGCATTCGCTCCGCCTTTCCGTTTGAAGCCTGGTTGCGAGCTTCGCTCTTCTGTCGCTCGACGCCTTCTGACTTGCAAAACAGATCAACGTTCATGTACTCGCCGCCTCCATCTGTGCGAAGCACATGGATTCGGCAGTCGAAACGCTTTTCGAACCACGCAAGGAAGTGTTCGAACTTCTTTACGGCCTTGTCCTTGGTAGGCGCGAGAAACACGCGGCAGTAGTTGCTGTAACGATCGATGAAGTTGACCATATAACGGTTCTTCAGGCGGTCGGCGGGGGTCATCGGTCCTTTGAGATCCGAACAGATGACACCGCCGATACGATCGATCGGGCTGTGCCTGCCGCTGTCTTTCCGCGATTGTGCATTTCGTGTTTGCTTCGCCTCAGCACAGGTGATGCACGTGAGCCGTTTGCGGTCGGTGAGCTCGATGCCGCTTGCCGGATCCTGCGCCATTCGCTCGATGGTGTCGAGAGCAATATGACCGAGTCGTTCGTGAAAGTGCATTAGTGTCCCGCTTTGCACATCCTGTCGCACGGGCACCGTCACTTCTTCGGTGATCGCCGCCAGTAACACATCTGTAGGCGACTGCTTGCGTCCCGTTTCTGGCGACGTTGCCACGTAGAATACGTTGTTGCGTATCTGCACGTCAAACGCTACGTCGCCTGTGTCTTGGTTGGCGAGTGATAGCTGCTGGTCGTCGTGCACGAGACTGTACCCTTTCTTCACGAGCTTGCCGCTTGATGTGGCGAGCGAGCAGCGGCGCGAAGTAGACGTCTGTTACGCGAATCATACGGGGCTGCTGGTCGACAAACACGCGAATGTCCACAATACCGACAAGCGATAGGCGCAACGGCTCACCATCTGCGACAATGCACTCTTGGTCACATCGCTTTGCGTTAATCAGCAGTCGATCGTCGTTGACAATGTGTCGGCTGGATCCACTATCCAGGATCCACACGCTGTTGTCACTGCTCGGGTCTTCGTCGATCGATAGAGTGAGGTTCGCACCATCGGTGCGACTTCCACTGGGTCTTCCAGTCGGCTTCTTCTCTTTTCTTCGGCAGTCGCGCTTTAGATGGCCGACTTTACCACATCCGTGGCAAGTGCGCGTCTCCTTTCGTGGCTCGTCATCGGCCACGTGCGACACGACGTCACGACCAAATGAGCGACTTGAACGCGCATCGATCTCGATCGATTAAGCAAAGTGAGCGAGTTCTTCTGCATGCGCGAGGTGGTCGGCGCGCGAGGTGTCGTACTTTGCCATGAGGACAGTGGACAGTTCGGCCGATGCATATCGCACGGTGTTGTCCAGCACGTTCGAATCGGCACCTCCGCAAGCGTCGCTCACCGCCACGAGATAAAGATAGTGTTCTGGCCACGTTCGCTTCGAGTCCTTTTTCGCTGTAAACAGCCTCATGGCCTGCGACGCTGTGATCGTTGTACGGAATGTCTGGAGCATCTTTTCCATGACGAACTGCAGTGTCGGCAGCACCGACCACCAAGCGTCAATCTGCTTGTTAAAATAACGTTCTGCAGTACCCGAGAGATACTGCCCGAGGACGTCAGTCTTGGTATCTCCGGTCCATAGGAAGCCGCACGCTGCTTGATCCATGTCGACTTGTCGCCAAAACGACTTACCCCAATCGAAGAAGTTTGAGCCTAGACCTTGGTAGAGCTCGCTGCCATCAAACTTCCGGATGGCGAGCTTGCGCTGTCGATCATCGGGCACACGGTACTTCCCCACAGGCACGTAAGCAGCAGCTGGAGGCGGCGCTGCTGCTGGTCCCACTTGAGGAGCTTGTGGCTGCCCGAGCGGAGGCGTGTACTGCGGCATAAGCGGCACACCGCGCGAACCGTGGTACGGGCCATGTGGCGACGAGGCATTGCGCACTGCCGGCGCAAATCTGAGAGCGTCTCGCATCATCGTTTCTCACCCAAAGTCACGCCCGAGCGCGGAGCTGAACATCCCACTCTCAATCACGCCGCGCATGCGCTCGTCTTCTTCAGTCTTGATCTGCGAAGCCTCCATTCGCATCAGACGCTCTTCCAGACCGAGAAGCGCGTTGAGAATCCATTTGTTGACATCTTCGCTGCCCCTTTCGCGAGCAGCTGTTGCGACGTCTTCAGCAGGTGCAGGAGTGGCCCTTTCGCGGTCGTCGTGCTCCTGAGCCAGGGTGAATTTGTCGTTGATGTTGTCAGTGTTCATCGTGTTGGAACTTGGGCTCATAACCTGTTCTAGGATACACTTATCGAGGAGACGGATGAATGGATTCTATCATTGTCTTAGTTTATTCGTTTCTTGCTACCGTGATTGACTAGTTGTTCTTTTCTCCATCACTCCTATCCACTCAATCAATCATCCACTATGCTGTCCACTCAATCACTAATCTTCCTACATCTCTCTAAGTCATCAGCCGTTTCTTCAGCCGCTACTTCAACCTTTACTTCAAACTACTTGCATGCTGTATGCTTCTCTCCAACTTCGACACTGCGCTAATCGACTCTCTATGCCATCAAAAAACAAGTGCTGGCCGTGTTGACGCCGGCTCTCACTGGATCTATCATTTCTAACAGCTATTGTCATTGTTGTAATTAGTTTGGTTCTTGTTGTTACAGTTTCTAATGTTTTTATAGTTATTGATGTTGCAGTAGCACTCGTTTTTATTACTACTGCTACTGCAGGTTCGCTGACGCTGCTGCTGTTGTTGCAATTGTGGGAAGACATCGCCGTCTCTTTAGCTACATTTGCTACGAGCATTTAATCACATCATTACACCCGATGAATAGATCAAATACGAATCTTACGGTATATCGAAATCAGTGTTGCAGAACATTGCCGACCCCTTCTTAGCTCGCATTAACAGCTGCTTTTATTGAGGGTTACCTCTGCTGGTCTGAAATTGGATATAGCTACAATGCTATCTGAGGTTCGACACACCAGCAATGCAAAGCGAATGCGAGCAGCAGCAGCCTTGAGATCGAGAGAATTATTACTGATGATAAATGATTGGCGACGTGGGTTTTTATGTTACCACTTTAACACGAGTATGTTAGGACGTAAGGCATTCTTTTATTTTCCGACTATCTGTGGCACATTTTTTAAATTTGATGCATCTGGGCGTTTTTATTTTCGTGATTAAATTGGGACGTTTTAAAACAATTCCTATATATGTAAGTAGATTCCCACAAATTGTAACGTGCATACGTAAAAATCCAAGAAACGTGATTCTTATTAATTAAACGTACGAAACATTCGATTCATCACCGTCAACTACCTTGCAACAGTTTTGTTGTTTCAATCAAAGATATGGAGTTTCGCTATCGGACACAAGCCTGTTGGCCTGTCGCCACACTGATTCACTAGTACAGAAATCCAGACATTCCTCCAGCAATCAATGGGCGATCGATCACGTTGTCTGATAGTAGCGCACTGCTTGCGGGCAAAATTACGATAAAAGGCGAATTACTTGGATAATTACAGTATGATGCATCGTGACACGTTACGGTTCGCGTTCAGAAGCGATTCCTGTTTCAGTAGCATTGCAGTCATTAATCCAGGTTCGATCATCGATGCTTGTTCGTAGTGCGAAAACAGTGATGCGGCCACAATCTGGTATACGACGAAATATTTTGACACGACTCGCAATGTCTAGCGCTGCACCTCTCACCACCTAATGGGTAACGATTTTTTGCACGAGACAAAAGCTTTGTTTACAGCGGCAGTCATCGTTGCATTGACCTTGCACTTACACGACGTAGTAACGTGGTCGTTTGGGTGGAATTACACGTACATAAATGACGAGGTTGTATATGAACACTTAACTGTTGCGCAAGCGACATTATAATGTATGTTGCCATGTAGTTGTTGATGGTTGACTTTTACCATTCAGTAAAAAATGCCATAGACACTTTCTGTTTAAAAGGGGACGAATCATCTTCTCAGCGTGATTATGTACTCTAATTTGGATTAGTGTGCTGAGCTTCGTGAACCACATCAACGGGATTCATCGAGTAGTGCACGTGTTCGGGCCCTGGTTCTATTCCTAACTGTCGACATATGCGATCGTCAGATAGCGGACTCTGTTATTTAATGACCATGAAGCGTATCTCACATAGACAAGCGTTTTCTAGTGCAACAATGCTACTAAAGCTATAGGTGCATCAAGTTGACAAAGAGAGCGAGCATCTATCATAGAACATCATACATGGTTTCTTGCTTGTGCAAGAAGATACAAATCTCATCGTATCCTGCAGTAACTGTGGAAAGTTAGTTTGCTGTTGGGTATTTCCTGCAATCAAATTGCAATTCAAATGAGATTGCAATGTTTTGACAACGTCATGCAAAAATGGTGACTCATCAGCACGAACAATGTGATTGAAATAGATGACCAGTACACAGGAGACACTGAACGGGTCAATGTCAAGCTAGCTACCTGAACGGATCAACCCTGCAAGTCCATGTAAAAAATACGAAAGGTGTAGAAAATCAACGCACGTTGTTAACAATATCAAAAAGAAAGGTATACCACTGCGAACATACTGCATTTTCTTCTAATTACCGAAGTATAAGAAAGCTGATATTGCGTGGATGTTGTCATCGATGTGTGCGGATTGAAGGGACAGATGACGAGAAGGACAATGTTACCACCAAGTTACTTCTTTTCGTTAGTTCACCACGCCGCGCGCACTTTCGATTTCAACTTCGAGGAAGGTGAAACCTTTCAAAAAGTCTAAGCTACAACTATTTGTCGTATCTGGTACTACATTCCAGGCTCTTGGCTCTGTAGAGTATGTATCTGTGCGGATGATATATCTCATCTCATGCTGCGTACGCCCATGCAACGAATTTAGAATCAGTGGAGACCGTATTGAGAGCGCCTCAAGCACGCTTCATATTTATGGTAGAGGCAGCGCAGAGCGTGGTGCAAGTTTTGATTCTTACATCCATCCTGTACTCGCAAAAATTCGATACAGAACGGTGCAGCTTTTCATTGACCTAAAAACCAAGTTTAATTAAATAGAAAACCGTTGGTCCTCAATTGTATACATCAAAAATAAGGTCCTTCAAGCCTCCTGCATAAAACTGTGCTTGCAATATTTGCTGGATTCAGTATGCATCCTTATCGACGAGGGCAAACATTGTCAATACACAGTCAAGGCAATAGTAAATACATGGTACAGTCAATGATTGCTAGAACTCTCTGTAAAGGAAGACGATGATCCTAGCTACAACTTTCACCGTGCCGGATGTGCGCAATCGAGAAGGTGTTTTGTGAATGACGTACTTGTGTTGGTTGACCTCATAGATGCCCAACAATAGTGTGGAGCACACGCCACGTATTCAGACATGCTGCTGAGACCTTGACATTTTTGCAGAAAAAAGAAACGTATCAACAAAGACAAATTTATGCTGCTGGCTGTTGTGATGCTCAACTCAATGATGCGTTATTTGTAATGATCACACACACAGGGTAATCAGTGTGCACATCCAATAACCGTGTCGTTTTTACCAAATATGCACTCTTTGGCGTATCCTCGCCTAGTATGCCATGTGCGGCCACCACTTTGGTTTCGATACAGTCATCTTTAGCCTTTGTCCACATAGAAACATTACTTCCACCTTGGTATAATTACAAAACAGCTTCGCGGGTATCGATCATCACTTTCTCTGGCACGTTGTTTTACATCGATCTATAATATAACACAGGGAAACGGCTTGTAACGGTGGCCGAATCTATGTCAAGACTGCGAGAAGTTGGCAAATGTTCAGCTACCAAAGGACACAACGCGTCTTCTTTATTTTGCTTCAGCAGCATCTGCACCTATTCTCTTTTCTCCTATGTCATGTCTCTGCTATATGTGTTTGTCACATCCATTCATTTTTCGTCAGCAGAGCCCTCGTCTCCAGTGCATTGTGATAAAGATGTACGGAATAGCGATGACTGTTTTCATTCTTTCATGTCTTGAGCCAAACCTTGCTCTTGCTTTCGGATTACAACCGGTCTTCGTCGACTCGAACGCAAAATTGATTGCAGAGTTCGACGATTCCTACAAAGGTGGTGATCGTGCGGCATTAAAGACGTAGACTTGAGGGGTTCACATTGAGCCTTCCTGCGTGGGCGACAAAGCGTGTGCTGTGTTTTAAGAGTAAGAGTAGAGGGCCCACCCTTTTTTACTAGGCCCAGAAGTTCTAAGATAAAATGGCTTTTTGTTACTGATGCTAGTTTAACACACTTATTCTTCGTACATCACCAATTACAACAGGCTTGTCTCCGATTGCGAAACCCTATAGCTTTGATTGGAAGCATCAAAGCTGCTGCAAAGTAGTTAATGGTGATGAATTGAACGCTTCGCATGATTAATTAGAAATAAGGTGGCTAACAGTTTTCTGCATTTACGTTACAATTTTTAGGAACCGATTAATAAAAAAAAGGTCGCCTGGGTGTGTACGCATCAAAGGGTGGGTGTGTACCTATCAATTTAAAAAAAACCGCTTTGGGCAATCAGAAAATAAAAGATGCCTCACGTCCTAGTATACTTCGATTAAATGTGGTACACATTTACCAGTATTGTACTTCAATGAAGGGGTAATTATTATAAATATTATTCAAACGCTATTTGCTAATGCGTCTGACTATCTGATACATATAAGCCCTTGATTGTGGTCACGTGGATATTCACCGTGACAGATCAGGCTAATGCAATGCTCGCGAATCAACTCTACATCATGTCAATACACACTTTTAACGTGCAAAAAGGGGCAATCCGGCTGCCTCGAAAAAATTTAGGTCGAATATAGCGGGCGTGTAGTTCCTTAATAATCGGAAGCGCCACTGATTTACTACCAAATTGATTTAAATGTTCTGTAGCAGCACGTGATGTGGCATCAGATGTAACCATTAGAAAGCCAAGTGCCAAAAAGAGGCGGATTTATTACGACAAAGTATATGTTGATTATGTTATAGTCTGTACCGTAGGTTTTAACGTATAGTGTGTCCGTTTCCTTACGCTACAGTTCACATGCTAGGGGTAAGTAAGCAGTGCTATCAAGCCTAATTAATTCTGTGTGATGTCGCTATCTCCAGAGCTCTGCAATTCCAGCTTGCCCCCTTGGAGGGAAATGTCAACAGCACAGAATAGACCATGCAATAACACCACAATGTAGCCATCAGCACCGACAAAGCCTCTTCGAAATAATAAAGTAAGAGTCAAACAGGTAAAATGGATTTTATGATAGTCTTTTGAGTGTTTATAAAGGCTCAAATAACAACAGCGTCCGAGCAGGATACGTAAAGCTTACCCAAAATCAAACAACAACAGCAGCAGCAATGTGGTGCCATACAAGACCTTTGAACAGTAGTAATACCAAGAACACTGACAGCAGCAGAGATTACAACGACATCAGCAGCAGTATCAAAATCAACAGTAACAATTTAAACTTTACAACAGTAACAACAACGGCTACAGTCTCTGAGATAGCCGCAACAACGACACTAGTAACAACAAAACTAGAGATAAAATCGCAGCAACAAATAAAAAATACCGTAATATCATTATGGCAAAAGTAAAAATTCAACAAAATTTAGACAAAAGTAAACAAAGAGATTGTTCTTTCCACCACGCTTTTACTTTTTTCACCACACCGTGACCCTTTATGAAACCTTACAAGCGCAACACACCACACAAAAATACTACACACCCACTCCCACTCCCGCCCTCAACGACGATCTCAGGTCAGAGCACGAAATTGATGAGAAACGGCTGTGCCAAATAAACACGCAAGTTTACGTGTGCACGTAATTGATCTGCCCCCTATCCACCCCCACAAGTTCTCTACCTCGCCTGTGTTCGACACGTATTGACCAATTGTAACTTTAACCGAACTTGTAGCAATGTTTTGACAGTGTCTATAACATAATGGACATTCTTAACACACAGTACACCTTCGTGGATTGAGACGCACATCTGGATCATGTTAAGCGATATGGGCTAGAGACACGTTTAGGTTCGTCAAACGATATGACAAAACGGGCACCCATTCGCGTGTAAAACTAGGTTGTGATCTTGGTGTGCGAATCCGGCGTCTGTCAATCGATTCGTATCGCCGCCAAGTGACGCCCCATGCGTCGCCAGCCAGTCCGTAACCATCAACTTCTTGTCCAGAAAATGCACTTCTACAAAGCTTAGCAATCAGTCTTGGTAAGACTGACTCAATAATCGATCAGCTCTATCGACTACAAAGAGCTGCAGATTCTGCAACTAAAATCCGCGAGTTTCTTATAAATGGTCCACTAATCGTCCTGGCGTGGCCACCACAGCATAAAGGGCACAACGTCTGCCATGCAATGCGTCCTTCACGCCCTACAGCACCCACAAAAGCACGATGTTCAGCTGCAAAATTGCTCTGCCCAACAGCTAATCCACACTTCAGCGGTGCATTCTGGAAATGCGCCTGCACGTTTGCATGCACCTGTCCGGCGAGATCTCGACTAGAGATCTCAACTAGGTACGACAACATGTGCACGCACACGACCGAAAATACGCAAGAGCAGTCACTGGACAATTGGCACAACGTAAGTGAGCGTCTTGCAACTTCCAGTATGAGCCGAGACACGTATATACGTCATGCGATCATTCGTGCTGGCCAAGGTCTTGGTAACAGCCAACCCTTGCACGGCATAGAATGAGCGGATGTCCAGCGTCGATAAGGTGCTGCGAACGGCTGGCGCCAGGTCTCATTGAGCCAAGAATTCGGTTGGGAAAGTCAACCACTATTTGTGATGTTTTTGCGGTAGGTTAAAAATACCATTTACATCGCCTAGGAGATTTCTGCAACATAGAGCACCACCGGTCTACTATTGTAGTGGTGGCCTAGTTCAATATGATCTGACATATGTACCGCGCTTGTTTGTAATTATTTTATACACTGCTCTATGATCTATTCTAACCCTTCTGTCATTTATCTGAGCTCAATATACTATTCGAGCGATATGCGTTGCAATTAGTCATTAGGCGAGACTAAACAGAAGTTTGGGTGTTAAAACTCAGTTTTAGATGTAATAGAGAATCGTCAATAGTCGCTTTGACTGAAATCCATCGATTTCATACAGAAATGTGCATTTTCTACACTCCGCGCCAGGTAATATCGTACACCTGTACTTTTATCCATGCTTAGTCAGTTTTACGAATTAGCGGGTGCTATTTAGATATGTGGTGTATTTTATTAATAGAAACAACCTATGTGTGTTAACGATTGCGATTACGCAAAGCGTAAGGGGTCTCACATACGAATGACTGGTTTTGCCACTGCGACATACTAAATCGTACAAAATGGCATACAAATTTTTTAGTATCAAATGAACAATTAAAGATTCACTGTATTTAATGGGGGCTTTATTGCCCTTCTTCTTGGTGACCTTTATGCATCGTCGCGGCATCGAGCGAACAAGCGACACAAGTGTGGCATCCGGAATTGCATTTCTCAGCTGCAATTAGCGCAGCCTTTAGCTCAGACACGCGCTCGAACTATGTTCCATTGGCGTACACTTGCCTGCTAACGAAAGACCACAAATTCTCGATGGGTTTGAGATCAGGTAAATTTGATGGCCAGTCAATCACCTGAATACCCTCTTCACTGAAGAATTCGCGGCTACGGTATACAACATTTATACTTGCGTTGTCCTGTTGGAAAATAAAATCTGTACCATAGTTCAGATGCGCAAATAATAGAAGATATTCAGACACTGCATAGACATAGTCATCCGAATTCTGCCTCCCCGTCAGCACAACAAGTGGAGACCTACCACGGGCGCTAAAAGCGGCCTAAATCATGATGGACCCACCTCCAGCTTAAAGTCGCTTCGCCTGGCGGACGAACTGGCGCACATCTCTCCAGTAGTGCTAGAAGCCGTCGGGCCCGTCATAAATTCCTTTTTTTTCGTCCGAGAAAATAATAGAGTCCCAGACGGACCCGGCATCCTCATGCAACAGCACGTCCTTGTCCCAGGATTTGCGCGCACCCATGTCCGCGACCGTGAGCGGCAACATGTTTTCCATCTTGGCGTACACAAGCCAATCGACATCGGCTAAAATGCGCTGCACGGTGCGGACGGACACCGGCAGGCTTAGCTCGACCTTAAGCTGGGCGGCGGACAGGTTTCCCTAAGCAGAGGTGCGCAAGAGAAGTCGCAAGTGGCGCTTCGAGAGAAGGGAAGCGGTTTCTCGGCATTTCATCTGTAGGGGAAAGAAAGGGGATATAACTAGACAAACAGTGTCAAGGCTTCTCGTGGTAACAGTCTCGATGGCATACAAGCTCAGGCTAGCCTCTCATAGCCCCAATATCCTTCCCCGCTCGTGGTCGGTAAGTTTTGGCTTCTTGGTGCGATTTCCGTCATTAAGCGCCGCTGACATCGTGTCGCCAAATGCTTGTGCCGGTAAAATCAACCCAGTAATACAATCATACTAATACATAGTGCATAAAAATTGTATGCCATTTTTTACGATTTAGTATGTCGCAGTGGCAAAACCAGTCATTTGTATGTGAGGCCCCTTACGCTTTGCGTAATCGCAATCGTTAACACACATAGGGTGTTTCTATTTATAAAATACACCACATATCTAAATAGCACTCGCTAATTCGTAAAATTGACTGAGCAGTGGAAAAAAGTACAGGTGTACAATCTTATCCGGCGCGGAGTGTATGTGTGACCTAACGACTTTTTATTATATCTATTGAGGGCTTAGTAACTGACAAAAGTGCTTATGAACATATCTTTGCGATTTATGACATTGCATAAAATCACAAGTCATCTTAATCGCGCTCATTAAAAAAAGAAGTTAAGTTTTTTGATTTTATGGGTCGCAAGAAGGGTAGAGATGGTATAACGAAATAGCAATCAAATTGATTTGTTTTGCTGAATTCATTCCACAACTGCACACTACGTCACTATATTTGTGATGCAACAGGCATGATCGAAAGGTAAATACCAAAATAACAAGTAGATTTCTTTTTACTCGGGATCTTGAATGACCCCTTTAATAGAGCTACTACTTGCCTTGGTGCCACTATCTACAATATATCATAATCAATTCATTAATATTGAATTTAAATTGCTCAAAGAATGTAATGTACCGGGAAAAAATTCCACGAACATTTAATCATGTCTATGGCACTTTCACTCGAGTCACTGTGCTGGGATTCGTCGGTCTTTAGCGGGTTTGTGGCCTTCTTGTATAACAAAAGTACCCCTATCCACATGGTGCACCAAAATCTTTCGTGGTTTTTTTATGCGCGGAATAAATGTTTAATCATGTCATGTATCCGCGTGCGACGGGGCACCTGTTGCTAGTACGGTCACACTGCAAGTAACTTACACTGAGCACGTGATTAAGGTGGTTCCTTAAGACTTAAAGTACACGCTTTGTGCAGAAGAAAGATTTCAACACGAAAAATGATACTAGTAGAACTGCATTTAGTACATTTGATCTCCTCTATAAAATTATACTTAGCCTTTTTATTCAACTAAACCTGAATAAAAATATGTATTGTAACTATCTGCTCACCACTCATTTCGTTTTTCAGTCATAATTCAGCTTTTTTGGTTGATGTCATTGATGTAATTCCCATTTTGCAGTGTAATACTCCTACAGCATAATATTGCTTGTAAAGCCAATATTGTGAGAATGTTTTGTTTGTCCTAATAAAAGTAGTTGTACTTAATTCTACATTGTGTATACCATCATGTAACGAAGGCACCCCGTTAGGTCGTGTACATTTCTGCTTAACATAGGGTTTGAGGTTTGTAGCCATTCATCACATCATGCATGCATTTGCATAACATGCAGCAACAGTGGTTGCTGCTCTGAGTGAGCGAAATGGCACAGTAACAAGGGCAGAGCATGGAGCTAAGAATCCGCTCTATCCAGTAGTTAACATTAGATCTGCAAGCGGTTACATAGCCGCTCTCACAAATGGTCGCTTAGCTACTGTACAGCTAGGACGCAGCAGTAGCAGTTGCTAGCACTCTCTTTTCAATCTCAATTTTTATCTAACTTTGCAGAGCTCAACCTACCGAGCATCGATACATAAAGCTAACTTCAGTACGTGTACCTTGTTCTGGATTAGTAGTGACGCGCGATATCACATACCGATGGTTTTGACCGTCAAGCAAAAAACTTCCTTTAGTATTTAAGTTGATCAGAATTAGCATACTTTCTCCCACCATGTTCATACTTTTACCTCCAATATAAATGATAATCTACTCATAGGTCGCAGATGACTTTTTCTTTAGCAATCTGTATACATTATAGCCTGACCATATATTGTTCACCACCCACTGAATCTATTATTAACCTTCCTCCCGCACGCCAGCTATTGATCCCGATAAAAAGCAAACTCCCCACATTCGCAAAGCATCAACTGCTACAGATCGCCGAGATTGCTAATCTCCATGATGTGCACCTGCAGTATTAAAAGCTGAAGACTTTTTTTTCTGTGATACCTAATGGGTATATACCGCATAAAGAATCATAATTTTTTTGAGCATGTATCAAATTTAAGCAAATGCAGGATAAATTGAGCGGACTAAATTACAAGACAACAGGTTTTATTCGACTAATGTTCTGTGTGTCTGGTTATGTGTTTTATGCGAATTTAGGGTGTTTGTAAATTACCATGAAGTGTAACGGGTTTAAAGGCTCGTTATGTAGCCTGCACTAAAGGACTTACGAGGAAGCGTTCGAAGCACACGTGTCAGCGTGTGCTGCGGGTGATTTCAACTCTGATTCTAATATATTTGTATGATTTTATTTTAAACCATCATAGGTAAGAGATTTCTCTAAGCCACGATGATGGGCTCAATTAAAAGTAGCAACCATTTGGCTAGTAGCGGGGGTGTACCCACTTTACAAGCAGAATAGGACTACGACGCACTGTACCCACTACCTTTGGCTACAGTGTATACCTACTTATGTATTTGTATACATATGGGGGTATACCTGATTGTATACTAGTTAGAAAATACTCTAACAAGCAGTGTATCGGTGACAACCCGCCACAGTTCAGTTCAAGACTAAGGCGTGCGTTGATGGTTGGGAATGTGTCAGAGTGGTTTTGATGATGTAAAGTTTCATTAATTATTGCTAAACGGTTCTGTACCTGAATTTCTTCCTTGAAGCAACAATGCTTTTAATCGCGACCATAAACACATAAACCTACGGCTACCTGTTCACATTTCAGCTCGTGTAGATTATAAATATAATGGGCTTTGTCATCATATTGATGGAGGTGAATGATGTTAATGGATTATCAAGTGCTAAAATGATTGTCTTTTCGCTTACCACCTACGACAATTCATACATGTACATAGTCAGTACAAATCCTACGTAAACAGGAAATAGTGGCGTCTTTATCAATTAAAAGGTGTATTTATTATTTTCCCTGCGGTTTTTATTAAACCCCTCACCACCATCAAATCGATGAACATTCCACACCTCTCATCCGTTGGTGCCGACATGTCAGTCCAGTATATGCTGCACTGTCCCGCCGAAGTGCTTTATTCTACGCTGTGTGCAAGGAAAACACTTTAAGAGATTACACGGCCGGATTACGTCTTTTAGTGACTGCGGATCTTAAAAAAGGCTGTTTTTACGACCTTGATGTATTTGACTAGAAGCACGCACCAGAAGAGAGCGTCTTGACTGTAATTACGATACGTGTATACCACAACGATCAAATCTGATGCCTTCATAAATTTACGAACATTGCCCTAACTTCCGCGTGCTGCACAAATAGAGAAAATTACTACATCTATGTTTAGATTGTAAGGATGCTGAAAGATGGAGCCGCTCCACGGGCATGTTAACAGGTGATTGTTAGGCAATTTTCCGCTCCACGGGTATGTGTACAGTTTATTGTTAGGCAATTACACGAAGTTTGTCCACAAAATCGTTAAAAAGACGGATATGAAGCCACTGAGCGGGAAATCGCACACGGAGGCGTAACGCATAGCAAACAACATCCACACTTACTGATGCAGAAATTCTTTCATGCCGACATGGAAAGCTGGATATCATTTGCGGTCCACAAAATAAATGATATCTATGCCCCTACAGAGAATACTTTTATGGAACTTTGGCATCAACCACCAGTCATTGTAGTGAGTTTTGCTATCTCACGTGCATCTTTGTGCTTCTCAAATTAATTTTCAATAGTCTATGATATCTCTATTCAAGACTAGAAGATTGTAGCGTGTCTTAACGAGAACAGTTACCCTCTGAGGTGTCAATGGGCTTCTCTCAGCTTAGACCAAATTAGACATTTTGGACACAAGGTTGCCGGTAAAAATCGGGGGAGCGCACCGCAAAAAATTTAGAGCTGATTCAACAGTGCAATTGACATACTTCGCGATGCCTACAAGCGAATTTGCTGAGGGGTCAATGCCAGCCACAAGAATCGTAAGCGAAGCGATGGATAATTAGAAGTCGGAGATATTTACGAGCCTGTCAACGAGACATTTTTGAATCTTCACCGGAATCTATCGTGCCACACTTTAGTGATCCGAAAAAAGCTAAATCTGCTGTCCCATTACCGGTCAAAATCTCGAAGACTGTACTGGATAGTGCGCGAGGGTACGTGGCATACCCTGAGCACATGATACTTACAGTCACAGCGACACAAAACAAACAATTTAATTCAGATATATCTCGAAGTAATGTGGGCTTGACCAAAATGACGACACGACCAGACTCGACACAGAAATATTTAGCACATTGCCACCCTTCCTTCTCCAGAATACCAAGCTCGCAAACGGTCGCACTTTAATAATAGAAAGCACCAACCGTCGGGATTTCAGCAAATGGAGCGACTATTTGACGACAGCAAATTTAGCCTATGTCATATTACAGGTCACGACCGGCGCCGGCGCCGTTTTCGCGTCATCATTGCGACCGTGAAACCAATCCAGGAAAGTCATCTCATAAACACCTTAGACATAACATCACCGTCAAGATCATGAACATTTTATAACCGTCAAAAATCCCGGCCTTTAAGTCGTCGCCGCCTTCGCTGTTGCCGCTCTTCGAAACACCTCCATCATTGCGTGTAACGGGGCACTAGTCACTGGTACCGCTTCGGTAATATTGCACCAACACTGACAACAGTGTCGGTAGTGCCGCGCGTCACGTCACGTACACCGTACGTGCAGCCAAGGAAGTCAAACCAGTAAACGACGCGTTCAATAGGAGTAGAACATAAAACTGTAATGAATCTAATAAAGTCCTTAACACATGAACCTAAGTTTAGTCCAAACTTAATCATATTAACTTACAGAAGTGCATGCTAAAGTCTTGCTCATCACTCATTCCGCGCGTTCATCGTTAAATTGGACCGCTTAAGATGGCTGAATATGATGGCCCATATCAGCCAACTAGTGAGTGTTTCTGAATATCACCCCTTACGGTCATATCCACAAATATTATCAATCTTTATGGTAATATCCTTATTAACAAGTATCAAGGCTAATTACATGTAATAGGCTCATCCCGTTACATTGCGGGTGGATCTTCAGGTAACGCGGCCTACGGCCATGCTCTTGCTCGTTAGCCATAGAGATAGGTGTAGAGAAGGTGTCGAGAGCACTTTGGTTAAAGGATTCCATCGTTGTTGATTAGCTAGCTTGTTTCGTTCTACTCCTCTCTTGTCCACTCATTCTAATGTCCGACGTTGATCTCAATCGTCAGCCACTACTTCTACTGGTCCGAACCCACCGGGCCGCCAACTTCAACTGGTCGAGACCCAGAGGACAACCAACTTTACATTCCAACACTCCTCTTCGGCTGCGGCTTAGCTTCCAGACCCAAGTATCCGAGAATTTACAACTCACATAGCGACGCAGACTTGACTGCATATATTACCTTTGTCAAAAGATCCGCTAGCCGTTGCTTCGAGCGGACGTACTGCGAGACGATGATCTTACGTCGCCCGTAGTCGCACACGATCTTCGTATGGACGTCGACGTGAGATCGGCCTTAAGGGATGACACACCGCCGGCCAGATGACTCAGCGCCACTTAATTGTTGATGTGGAGCACTATCGGCAGCGCTGGCGGCTTACCAATCTTGTTCAGCATATCCCTGATGCCGAGCAGATCGCACGCCTGCTCCAATGCAACGAAGATCGCCGATTCCATCGTCGAGAGAGAGCGTACGCCTTGCTTTTACGACGTGCAGCTAGCCAGCATGACGTTCAGGCAGATGATGCCGCCGGTCATGGGCCTCCTGTCGCTCCTTACACCGCAAAGTCGGAGTCCAAGTACGCCTCAAGCTGGATCTTCCCGTCGAATACCTTCGCTGGCTTCATGCGAAATTTGTAGTCACGCGTACCTTTCAGGTACCGCGAGATGCATATAAACAGCTTCATGCCGTGAAGTCGCGGCTGATGAGTCTGACGAGTAGCCTTGTGCACGGCGTACGCAATGTCCGGCCGTGCGCAGCACGCGATCCACAGCAGGCTACCGACGAGGGACTGGAACTTCTTGATTGTTAGCGCTCAAGGCATCTTAGTCGCGGTGAGCAGCGGTTGTCATCTGTTTGCACATCGTAGCAGTCAGCGCCGATTGGTGACTTCGTCGAGCTATCTTCCTCGATCCCATGCTCACACAGCAGCTCGCCGATCACCTCATCTTGGTCGAGCACATAGCCTTCACAGTTGTCGATCGTGACTCGCATGTTGAGAAACTTGATGACGGTGCCGAGGTCATTGATCGATAAGCTGCCGAGATTGACGAAGAAGCGATCGACGGCTGCAGCGCACGTGCCGGTGGCGAGTAGATCGTCTACGTATACGCCCCGATGACCAACTGTTCGCCCTTGACTTGCCAGTAGAGACACATTTCGAAGATGCATTGCCGAAAGCCGGCCTCGAGCAGCCGAGCATGCAGGAGCTGGCTCCAGAGTCAACCAGACTGCTTGAGGCCTTACAAGCTCTTGCGTATCTGTAGCACAAATTCCTTATTTTTCGCTGCGCCGAGCGTTTTAAGCGCGTTTTGATCGATGTCCATTGCCTGAGGTACCCGAAGCAGAATCTCTAAGTGCGATTCCTTGTAGGCCTTGACATGCGCATAAAAATGTCGCCATGCTTCACCGCGACACCCCACATCGCCGCAAGCGCCAAGATCACCTTCACGGTCGGCATGGCAATGAACCGATCGCGAAGGTGAGCTAGTAGTCGAGCCCGAACAATTTCTCGTTACCTCACGCGATCAGCCGAGCCTTTAAGCGCTTAATCTCGTCGCGCGTCAGTCTTGGTCATAAAGAATTACTTTGTGTGCAGAGCATTGCTGCCCGGCGGTCGCTTGATCAAGAGACACCTACCGTTGTATTTTAGGGCTTAAAGCTCTTCGCGCATGACCTGTTGCTAGCCTTCGCGCTTGGTGCTGCGTAGCACTTCCCCGTAGTTCTTTGTGTCGCACTCGAACAAATGAGCTAAAACGCTGTCGTCAAGGGCTGGCTCCTCCTGATCGCCGTCCGCCTGGTCGCTCTTTGTTGCGCCGCACGTCCGGTGATTCGCGCGTATCCTCGACTTTTCTTTATTCTATCCCCTGCGTATCGTGGGTAATGGGACTTCGTCAGCGGTCGAAGACGCTTGGCTCGTTGTTGCTGTCAATGCTGGCTCCACCGATCGATCTTCGTTCTCGACACGCGCTGTAGCTGACCGTTGCTCTGCGCTGAGTGTCTCGACGTTGAGCACATGCTGCATGACCATGACTTTGTTCTCCTTCTAAAGGAAGACGAGAAAGATCTACTCTCGTTCCTTTGGCTGATTACCACGCCAAATTGCGCGCGCTGCTCGGGCGAGTTCTTGCATGGGGCAGGTAGGCCTAGCAGATAGAGTCACAGGCGATTATGTCCCGCAGATACAGAGCGTGCTTCTTCAGTATATCGATCAGCGACGCGTGCTTGACGCTCGCGCTCGTTGGGTTGCGGTCGAGGATGTACGCCACGTACTCCACCGCATTGCCAATGAACGTAACTGGATGTCGTCTGGAAAAGATCATGCTGCGCGGCATGTTCAGATTCGTCCAGTGCATGCGCTTGACCTTGCCGTTTGACTCCTATTTTTTTGCCTTGCTGATCTACCGCGATACGCCTGTCCGCTTGCAGAAGAGGTCAACGTTCGGGTATTCGCCGCCACCATCACTGCGCAGCACGTGGATCCGGCAGTCGAACTAGCGCTTAAAGAACGCGGGGAAGTGCTTAAACTTCTTGGCCGCCTTGACCCTGGTCGGCGCCAGGAAGAAGCGATAGTATTTCGGCTTGTGATCGACAAATTTGACGAGGTAACGATTGTGCAATCGGTCCATGGGGGTCATCGGACCCTTGAGGCATGAGCAGATCACCCCGCCAATACTGGCGATCGGTAATTCGAACCAGTGTCCTTATTCGACTGTACGTTCGTCGTTTGCTTGCCCTGAGAGCAACAGATGCACGTTAGTCGACTGCAATATGTGAACACCATACCGGACGCGGGATCCCTTGCCATGCGCTCGACGTTATCGTTGGCGAGATGTACAAGCCTTTGGTGAAAAAGCAGCAGTGATCCGCTTTGCGCGTCCGACTCGGTCTCGCCTGAATCGTCAGGATCGCTATGAGCAATTTGCTACGCGCTCGTGGTTCGGGGGACGCCGCGAGCGTCCGTGCGTAGAGTAAATTGTGATATATCGCCACGTCGAATACGATTAGGCCATTGCTGCGCCGTGCCAATAAACCGAACTCGCTGTCGTCTATGAGACCGAAACCTTTGAGCTTAAGCTTGTCGCAGCTCGGGAACCAGACACACGTCTATCAGCGTCACATCTTGCTGCTGTCCTCTCGCGAGTTCATTCAGCACGACGCTGCCGACTCACGTAATCTTGATAATCTCGTCATCTACCAAGTGGCACTCTTGCACCGCGGTCCCGCGCGTCGCGCAGCAGGGATGCGTCGTTGACAAGGTGGCGGCTGGATATCGTCCCGGTTGAGCTTCCATCTCGATTGCTTGCGCGAGTGCACGAGATCTTCCGCGTACACGAGGTAGCCGATGCGTTGCGTCTGGTCCTCGCCATGATAATCTTCTCCAGCTTATGCGAGGCGTAGCGCACGATATTGCCAAGAACCCGCAGTGCCGCTGACAGCGACTAGGTGCAAGTTGTGCTCTTGCCAGGACCTCTTACCTTCTTTCGTCGCCGTGAGGAGATTCATCGCTTGAGCGGCGGTGGTCATCCTCTTAAATGTGTGCAGCATGTGTTGCATCACGTGCTGAAATGTTGGCAGTACGGCTCACTACGTGTCGACCTGCTTATCGAAGTTTCGCTCTGCATTGTCGGTGAGGTACTGTCAAACACGTCGGCCTTCAAATTCTCGCTCCACAGGAAGCCGCAAGACTTCTGTATTTATTGTCGACCTGGCGTCAAAAAAAAAACGGCTTGCCCCAGTCGAAGAATCTGGACTTGAGTCCAACGTACACCTCAGTGCCATCAATCTCGCGGATCTTCATTTTGCGCTGCCTCGCATCCGGAGTGCGATACTGCATAGACGTCACTTCTTACCGGTGCTGCACTGGCTTCCCTTGAGCTGTCGGCATCGCCCGTGGCGCTGGTGGCGACTGGGGTGGTGGCTATGGAGCAGGCTAATGAGGTAACGGATCAGCACGCTGCTATGGCTGCTGTCTCGCTCGCATCTGTAGATCGTCGAGCCGCACAGGTGCGCGCCGCACTTACTACAGAGGCGTACAATCCTGCAAGTCCTTAAGCACCATCGCTCTACCGTAAAGTCGCTCTGTGATGTCTGCTTCGAGATCTGATCGGAACATCCCGCTCTCGTGAGCGCCGCGCATGTGCTCATCTTCGTCCATGCGTGCTTGTGACGCCTTAATCTTCTGCATCCACAGATTCATGCCTGTAAGTATCTCGAGAAATCTCGCCAGTGCTTTAGGATCCGCTCTCCTTGCGCAATCGGTAGGAAAGACGACCGTAGCAAGCGCGGCCGCTTCCCTTTCGTAATTAGTTGCCGAAGGCGCCTGTGCCGCGCTAGTGTCGTCGCTTGCATCCCAATTTGGCTCATAACCTGTTTGTTAGCCATGGGCTAGGCAGAGAGAAGGTGTCGGGAGCATTGTGTTAAAATGATTCTAACATTGTCGGTCAGCTGGCTTGTTACATTCTACCCCTCTCTTGTTCACTCATTCTATGTCCAGCGTTTATTTTTGGTGATCAGCCGCTACTTTTGCTGGTCCGAACCCACCGGGCCGCCAACTTCGACTAGTCCGAACCCAGCGGACTGCAAACTATAACTGGTCCAAACCCAGCAGACCACCGACTTCAAATTCCAACAGCTCTTCCTTTTAATCACAGGTTCTGCCAGCGTGGCGTCATTCATCACCTGCAACTTTGTCGAAGCCGTCTTCTCAAAACTCGACAACGTAGCACAATATACATTCGCGGGTGTGATTGATTAAACAACGTTGCAATAATATTTAAATTAGTGTGTTTTTGCTGAATGACTGTTGGTGTAACGCAATGAACTTGACTATGCAGCCGAAGCCAACCACCTGTGGCATACAAAACGCAGTGGTTTTTAGGAAGATGGTGGTATTTTCATAAAGTCTCCCAAAACCGAAAGGGTTTAGAAAAAGAGTAGATCTTTCCATAAGCACCATCCTCGGTCAAAAGTCTCATTATTAGCACCAATTTCAAAAGCAGCAGTAACCAGTAATAAAATTAGTGTAGATCACACTAAATTACTATCAAGAAGTGAGCCTGTGACTATCGCGCTTAGAAGAAGTGCTAGATAGTTGGGGATTGCGCTTTGCGATTCGACGCGACGTGCGATGCGTGAGCGAGACATGCTTGGCGACAGTAACATGTGTGGTTTGTTACATGATTTTTCGCATGGTTTAACTAGGAACTGACGCAGAGTCTACCTGTGTGCTGTACTACCTCCGATGTCGCATATTACGTAACAAGAGAAGGTAAGGCTTTAGCCTGATGTACAGATCCGCGAAAGTATTGAGGCCATGAAGGCGCAGATTGTGGAGTCTTGCTCATGCTGAAACTGTTTATTATGATGTTTAGGTCCCATACGACCGGATGGTGCACTTGATACATTCAAGCTAGAACAATACACTCGACTGGCCCGAGGAGTGAAGCAGGACTTAATTTATGATGACGGTAGACTACAATTGTCAAAAACAATAAGATCTTGTGTTTGAGGTAGCTTACAAATTGACTGGCGCGGTTTTTTGCTTTGTACTTGATATAATATGTGTGCAAGGACGCAGACGCGAGTCGGACCGATTTATGTCTTTGAGTTGCTGGTTGCGCGGGATGTGGTCACGGCCTTAACGTCCGACAATTCACTTCGGGTAATTTATATATTACGAGGACGTGTGGATATAGTTTGAGCTAGGCTTACACATTGTGGGCATAGTATTTCGTATTTGTTGTCTTTGTAGGATTTATGAGTACGCTATGCCGTTTTCGGACCAAGTAGCGGGACGTACAAAAGTGGTTTTGATGAATTTGAACGTGGAATTTTATGTATTTTGTGAGCTTTAGTTAAGAACGAACCACTAAATAGCACCTTTACTCTTAGACAGAAAAGTGGAAAAATACCTAGAGTGCCGAGAATGCCATGCTGATTGTGGATCAGAGAAATTGAAGAAGAGCTGCTGTACGTAACAGTTTCAATCGGTTGCACGCTAAACGTTTAATGCATTATATGCTGTGATGTGTATCGGGTGTTATGTAGGTTTTTGTGTGAACTGAAACAGGAACAACAAACTCAAGGTCATAGTTTAATTGATATCATCTTTAGTGCTGGACTATGTGGTGCGCTAACAGCACGGAACGACTGATCGCTGCGAAGAATTGCGCATAAAGCTGCTAAGTCACGCGAATGCTTCACGTTCGACGAAATCAACCGTCAGTTTCAACGGATAGCTCGAGCCACAAGGACAAGGATTATATAATGTTAACATCAGCCACGATGTCGTATTAAGCTTGTAAGGTACATAAAAGTATAATCTATTGCTTCGCTTATTGTAATCAATCCCATTTCACTCTTACTCGTCAGGGTCGCATTTCCCCCTGCTGTGTCGTATTATATTAATGTGAAACCATTCAATGCGTCGAGAAAAAAACACAAGCATTGTATTGTACAAACACTTTATGAGAATGAGCCTGAATTAATCACAATAAGTAAGAAGCTTTCAGTCTTCACGATGCAGAAACTCGTTTCCACCATAAAAATAAAAAGCAAAAGATTGAAGTAATGCAACATCCCATCTCTTGAAGGCTTGGAAAAATTCAGGTCGGACACTACCTAAGCCTCAGTTTAACATAAAGGAAATGGAGTCTCGTGTGGGGGCCTCGTACGGACATGTTCTTGGGCATCGCAAAATGAGAGTTGACAAGTGGCTTTAGCGTTAAATAATCAATCCTAACTCCCAGGTCAATTGGCTGCGCGGAAAAAAACCCATCTGGCTTCATACTTCGGTTCGCGTGACGACGACATGTTATCCTGTTGTGCCCCACTTCCTTGCACGCTCGGCATTTGTAGGTAGATCCTGATATTCGTATCCCCTGAGCTCGCAATACGTTTTTCTGCCGTCGCCCAGCCTGCTTATATTATGGCGGTGGGTTGATACATAACGATAGGGATCTCGTGCATACAACCACTTCAATTGACCTTCCCACGTAGCCCTGTTTATTGGTGTCCACAAGGTACGACGGGTGGAATGCGGACGTCACATCTATCGTGGACCCGGCAGCATATAGAACAGCAAATAGGTGGCGGCATGTCAACCCCTGTTGTGTGTAGGTAGAACACTAGCACTTCATCGACTCAACCTCAACACGCCGATATCGAGTCGAGCCCTGTTTCGAGGCAAACCACACACTAGAAGACGACCGATTCACTTCGTAATTACCGGCAGCAGCCTGCTCGGCCTTTTAAAAAGATCCTGCGTGAGGAGTCACTGTAAGCTGCTTTAGTGCCCACATTATAATCAAATCTTGACGTAAACTGAATTTCTCCATAGCTGCCTTCGTTATAATTTTAATAGCTTCGAGAGGTGCTGCATCACGAACGCCACTAACAAGAAGAGTGTTGTTATCACATTTCACGAAGTTGGTAGTGCGCCACCCAAAAAGTGGACATGGCCCCATTGGGGGTATAAGGATGTCAACGTGTTGCGAGCTCATGCATGCACCGTCAACTTGCGTTGTTACATTTGCAAACACTGTCCAGTATATCGGTTTATTGTCTTCAATGTACTTGGCGACATCATTACCCATCTTTTTCCGCAGCGCCGCGAGTGAAGATTTGTAGTCAGTTTGAGTCTCGGCTGACTAAATTTTCCATACAAAATGCTATACCTCGGTCCCCGACAATCCAAATTTTCACTTAACACTGCGCAGAATGTGAATTGCACAAAATCGAGTCTGGACACTGACACTATTCTTGTCCAGAGTAATTTAACTGGCACCCTGGATTTTTCCACGGTCGCACATTACTGCGATGTTCTCGAGATCAATCCCGGCGTTGATACAGCAGGTAAAAACCTTGTGATGTTATCTTGATTCTCCACGTGCACAAATGCTGTGGCGAGGGTGACATTTTTGCCGTTTCCATCTCGTCCAATTAAAGAGAGAATCACACCATTGCATTTGCCGTGACGCGAATGCGTCCCATCAAAGCCCACTACCGGCAAATCAAATCGATGGCTGCTTATAGATGCGCCGGAAGCCACAAAAAAGCGAAGAAAAACAATATTCCTCGTCAACTTCGAGTGCAACACTGCTTCCTGGATCAACACGCCTCAACTCAATCAGGTGCGGTGCAAGGAGTGAAAGAGATGATTGCCACTCTCCATCCATTTTCTTCAATAACGGCCTCCTTGGCTCTGTATGCTTTATTTCGAGAGTGCTGCAAATTAGTGCCATCACGAGCCTGGACGAGAGCCACTACTGCTTTTCACTTGATGCCTTCGTCACCTTGTACGGCGGCCTTAAATGTTGGCAGCAGTTGAATGTGCTGAGCAGATGGCTTGGCGATTGCCAGGCACACGTCGGCGTGAGTATCATTCAGAGTGGAAATGTAGTGCTATGAAGCTGCACCAATCCGCTTTTTCTTCTTCAGAAGAATCTCCCATGGGCATTGATCCTGTGGGCACACATACGTCTTGCTGTTGCCACCACTTTTTTAAACTCTGCACCGCCGGTTCTTATCAAAACAGTTGTCTTTCAAAAACTGGTTGCAGCAACACCGGACGGAAAAATTTGTCCATGAGCCAATTTAGTGGCTCCATAACTTGCATCTAAATCAATCGCCTCCCTTTCGCTTGACATCTTGATAAATCTTGCTATTTTTAGCACTTAAACTCTTGGTGCCTACAGCATTATATTGTTCTTATGTCTGGGAGCAACAAGTAGTGTGATTTACACTAATTTGATAAACGGTTGGTGCTGCATTGGGACTGGTGCTGATAAGGAGACTTTTGACCTAGGATAACGCTAATAGTGAGATTTCTTCTTAGATAAATGTTCGCTCCTAAGACCGAGTTGACATTCAAATTTAATCAAGATTATTGGATAGCCGAAAAGTCTATGTGGACTGGCAAAAACTTTTTTTTTAATCTCTTGTGGAATTGTAGCTGTTGTAGTCGAAAACGTAGATTTTTATGCTGGATTCAGCAACTTTCTGCAGAAAGATTGAGTTAGAATTTTCGGATCAACTTTCCCAAAAGTCCATCATAAAATGAGCAGGATTTCATCCATACTCATTATAAGAGTGTCGTTTATCGTCGCGTTTTGTTTTGTTTTAGCCAATCAGCTGATCCCAATAATAACGTCCCGTCGACGTTTACTGACCCGAGTATCCAGTTTATCTCGCTATTATGGAGCAAGTGTACTCGGGCCGATGCCTCTTTATCACAGGCGGCACGGGCTTTCTAGCCAAGGTACCGATGGCCCCTACCATTGCAACTCCCTGATCTTCACTTCTTCTTCTTCTCACGCTTTTCCATCTCGTCCTCTTTTGTCGTATTGCGGTTTGCTATAGACGCTTATTGAGAAGCTTTTGCGATGTACGCCCGGGATCGCGAAGGTAGGAATTGTGCATTTAGACTACGATTAAGCTTACCACGTTGCTGTGCTTGCTAAAACGTTATAACTCACATTTAAAATCAAGATTTTTGTCTTAATTCGGCCCCGCAAAGGTGTTGCACCAGCTGAGCGGCTTCAGAAGGAGATTATCCAAAGTCGCGTATTCGACCGCTTGCGAGCGGAACGTCCGCATGACTTCAATGCATTTGCAAGTGAGAAATTGCAGGCAGTTGCTGGTGATATGACGACGCCGGATTTGGGACTGAGTGCAGACGACGCGCGGTTATTGCGTGCATGTGTGCAGATCTCTATCCACTCGGCTGCTACAGTGCAGTTTAATGAGCTGCTCGAAGTGGCAGTGGAGATGAACTGTATGGGTGCGCTAAATGTCGCACGATTCGTGCAGAGCTGTCCCAAAAATCAGTGCCATTTGCACGTGTCGACTGCTTATGTAAACAGCAATCGACGGGATATGAGGATATCAGAGGAGCTGTATCCGCTCGAGTTTGATGCGCAGGAAGCATATGAAGCAGTCACGACAGCGACACCAAGTGAAGCCGAACGTCTAAGAGTGAATTTAATGGGGACGTATCCTAACACGTACACCCTAACCAAGTCTATGACGGAGCACCTTTTGGTGAAAGAAATCGCGTCCGGTTTGCCGTTCATAATTCACCGCCCGACGATTATCGGTGCAAGTTGGAAAGAGCCCGTGCCTGGATGGATTGATCAAATCGCAGCAGCCGGAGCTATATTCTTAGCTGCAGGTATGGGTGTGCTGACGATGCTGCCGGGCGACCCAAGAAATATTGCAGACATTGTTCCCGTAGACTTGGTAGTAAACAGTATCTTACTGTCTATCTGCGCAAGTGTTCACGATCGTGAACGCTCGACACAAGACTCTCTGTGCCCGTTTACTAAGGGTATGGCAGTGAATAAGCCAATGATCGTCCATTGCGGCACGTCCGATCCTCGACAAAATCCGTTGCGCTGGCGTGTGCCATGTGTGCTGGTGCCCGAATACTTTCGCAAAAATCCGCCAGCTCGCGGACTCTTCCCGGCCAAATTTTCAATGGTTCCAACTCACCAGAGCTTTCAAGTTCAATGGTTTCTTCAATACGCGCTACCCTCGTCCGTTTATTCGACAATTGCCAACAAGAGCGGGCATCCAGGGCATATAAAGAATGCGGCAAAGCTGTGGCAACTTACGTGGCGTGCACGGAATCTGGTCGAGCTCTTTAAGCCGTTTACAGAAAATCAGTGGATTTTTGTTGCGGATGCTGCAGAAAAAACGCTCGGACCCTGGGCCACGAAAGACTTTTGGATTGATTCTCACGAGATTGCATGGGAGCGATACGTTGTGAACTACTGCGTTGGGCTGAAAAAAGTATATGTTGCACGAGGATGTTATCGACGTGGATATCGAAGGAGTCACACAGACGCAGCTTGCACTAAGCACAGGACGCATCTTGGAATGGGATCCAGACCACCATGCAATCTCATTCCCAGGACTGCTCTCCGATGTGGCATGGGCGTACACGTCAAGTCGCAAGCCAGGCTACACCAAATCTGGACTGCTTGGTCGCGTCATGGGGCTTACAGGGTGGAAGGAAGGCGTAAATCATGAGGCATCACACGTTCCTCGACCCCATGTCGAGTCCGTCAGTGGCCTTCGCAACAGCGTTTTGGAGTCGGAAGCTGTTCGCACTGCAATAGAAGAGTGTGCTGTGGCGCAACGGACGAATATAGACGATGTGGAACGTCAGGCCGCTAGTATACTTGATACGATGGCCGCACAAATGAATTACAAGGCTGTACGAAAGTTTGGCTGGCTGCTTCGAAAGGTCTGCCGCAACATGTATGACCAAATTCATGTGGATGAGACGGGTTTGACTCAAATTCGCGACCTTCTGGCTGATCGTCGTGGAAGTGTGGTACTTGTCCCTACCCATCGATCGTACGTTGACTTCTTGCTCATGAGCTACGTGTTTTTCGCCTACAATATCCCTGTTCCTTACGTTGCTGCTGGAGAAGATTTTTTACACATGGGCACCCTCACGAAGTTATTACGCGAGTCCGGAGCCTACTTTATTCGCCGATCGTTTTCTGATGATCCTTTGTACACTGCTGTCTTCCGAGCTTATACCCAATACTTGGTATCGAGAGGACACACGATCGAATTTTTCATTGAAGGGTCTCGCAGTCGCAGTGGCAAGCAGCTGCACCCGAAATTTGGCATTCTTAGTACCGTTGTCGATTGCTACTTATCCGAGAAAGTCAAGAATGTAAGTGCTTTTGTACCGATGGATGGATTTCTCGAGGCTCAAACTTTGACTCGTGTTTTAATGATGTGCAATCAGCTCTACATCGTACCAGTGACGATCGACTATGAGAAGCCGTTGGAAGTGCTGCTACACCAGAGCGAGCTCCTGGGCGAGGGCAAAATCCGCGAGGTATGCTGTTATACATTTTCTTTGCTACAGCACCGTTGTTGTAGATCTCTGCTCATGATCGTGTTCCTTTTGGTAGTCTATCACCGCTTTGTTTAAAGCCATGCCGGTGGTGCGCAAGAAGTTTGGCTCGATCTCAGTGAAGTTTGGTGTGCCGTTGGATGTCAAGCAGTATGTGGATGCGACGTTAGCGCGTGCCGGGAAGCAAGAGGTCTCTGCGCCGACTTCAGCTATTGTCGAAGATCTGGGATACGCCATCACGGATGCATTGATTGAGAACGCAACGTGTGCGATGTCACACGTGGTAGCCACTATTCTATTAGTGTATCGTCAAGGAATATCAAAGCCGGAGCTTGTGCGCCAAGCGGGTCGGTTGAGGCTGGAAATTTTGCGTCGGGGAGGTCGTGTGGTGGGCACGCAAGGCCGCTCACCTACTGACGTCGTAGATCGCGCGCTCGAACTTCTGCACGAGCTCGTTATCATGCGACGTAAGGACCTCGTCGAGCCTGCCGTCACCAGCGTACGTGTCGTACTTGATGTGCTGAATGTAGACGCATACTCACCGTATATCTACTGTGCAGCGCGAGCAATACCCGAACATGATCGGTCTGGGCTACTATCGCAACAAGTTGCTGCACTGGTTTAATCGTGAGGGCGTGCTGGCTTGTGCTTACCATGCTCTGGACGCGTTCAACTCGCACTCTGGCAAGGCCAGTTGGGTATCAAGCACCTTGGGTGAAGCAGGTGTAGACCGTCAAGAGCTGCTCGATGGCGCATCGTTCCTGCACAAAATGCTGACGATGGAGTTTGTTCGCAAGGATGATCCGGTGGCTGATAGTGTTCACCTTGCAAAGGCGCTAGAACATCTTGAGTCTCGCAAAGTGTTCATATCTACAGCGGCTGCATCGTCATCAGTCCGCGTGGAAGCAGTCGACAGTGTGATGCTCTCGCTGCTAGGCACCCTCGTCTGGCCTTTCATCGACAGCTACTGGGTCGCTGTCACGAGTCTGTTCGCTTTGCGGCCACACGGTGAAGTGACGACAGAGGACTTGCTCAAGCGCTTACAATGGCTTGCAGAGACGATGTACCATGAGAAACTCATCAGCTTCTACGAGTCGTGCTCGCGCGAGACGCTGCAGAACGCTTTGGCATTGCTGGAAGGATGGAGTGTCCTTGCAAGTCGCCGCCGAGCACCGACAGGGAAGAAGAGCGCGTCCAAAGTGAGCAAGCCAGCGGTGCAGCTCCTGAGCTTGACTCCAGAGTACGCGATAGATGGCGAGCTGGAGCAGCTTGCCATGCGAGTCTCCAGGTTCCGCAAGTTGCCTCCTGGCGTGCATCCCGCCACAACTAGTGAGACCGAGGTGCTCGCACGTTTGCCTGCTCTCTCTCGCATGTAGCAGACTGATGGATGTAAATCAATAGAGATGGACGTGCACCAAGATGGACTTGTAACAAAGTTATATCGATTCGAGCTGGCATTTGAGTCACGTCGGGCTTTTACAAAGCCAGCACATGGCAGCGGCGTAGAACGGCACAGCTCTGACCGTCTCTTCTCTGCTTCGTCAGCTGCTTACTACAGATTGCCACGGATGCGATCCTGCACATTGCCAATGCTGTGGTGGGCAGCGGACCAGGCGCAGTGGAACAGACCCTCGCGGTCCGTGCGCTCGTAGGTATGGCCCCCGAAAAAGTCCCGCTGAGCCTGTGTCAGGTTAGCTGGCAGACGTTCGCGACGGAACGTGTCGTAGTAGTTCAACGAGGCTGAGAACGAAGGCGTGGGGATGCCGCTAGCCACGGCAAGCGACACGACGCGACGCCATGAGTATTGACGAGCCTGTAGCTCCGCGGCAAAGTCCGGGTCCACCAGCAGCGAGATGAGCGTCGCATCCTTCGAGTAGGCCGCTTTGATCCGGTCAAGGAACTTGGCTCGGATGATACAGCCGCCTTTCCAGATGCGGGCACACTCGCCCAAGTTGACGTTCCAGCCCATTTGCACGCCCGCCTCACGGATCAAGTTGAGGCCTTGAGCGTACGAGCAGATCTTCGAAGCGTAGAGAGCCTGACGCACGTCGTCAATGAGCTGCTGCTTGTCAACGGCCGGGATTTCACTCGGTCCGGCGAGGATCTTGGAGGCAAACACACGCTCTTCTTTGCGCGCGCTGAGGTAGCGCGCATCGAGCGACGCCGTGATCGTCGGGGCCGCGATCGACCGCTCGGCAGCTTCTTGCACGGTCCAGCGCCCCGTTCCCTTCATGCCCGTCTTGTCCAAGATCTTGTCCAGCACGTAGCCGTCGTCCTCGAGGTCGTCCTTCTTGGCAAAGATCTGCGCCGTGATCTCAATGAGGAACGACTCGAGCTCGCCCTTGTTCCAGTCGTCAAAGACGCTTGCGAGCTCGTCGTTCGTGAGGCCGCCCGCGAGCTTGAGGATGTCGTAGGCTTCGGCAATGAGCTGCATGTCGCCGTACTCGATGCCGTTGTGCACCATCTTGACGTAATTGCCAGCGCCAATGGGCCCCAGGTACGTCGTGCACGCGCCGTCGTCCACCTGGGCCGCGCACTTGGTCAGGATCGGCTCAATGGCGTCGAACGCTTCTCGCGGGCCGCCGGGCATGAGCGACGGCCCGTTCCGAGCGCCTTCCTCGCCGCCAGACACGCCCATGCCAATGAAGTGGATGCCCTTGGGCTCCAGCTCGCTGGCGCGACGGACGCTGTTCGGGAACCACTCGTTGCCGCCGTCAATGAGGATGTCGCCGGGCTCCATGAACGTCGCGAGCGCTGCGATCGTCAAGTCCACGGGCTTCCCCGCGACGACGAGGATGATGATCTTGCGGGGCCGTGCGAGCGACGCGACAAAGGCCTCGAGGTCCTTGAAGCCCACGAGCGGGAGCTCGCCCTCGTCGTGCGCGCGCTGCACGGTCGCGTCCACTTTGTCGGGCGAGCGGTTGCACACCGAGACTTTGAACCCGTGGGACGCCATGTTGAGCGCAAAGTTCTGCCCCATGACGGCCAAGCCGTAGAGCCCGATGTCCGAGAGGTCGGCCATGGTGGGAGAGGGAGGGAGAAGGAGGTGGGAGGGAGGGCAGACGGGGAACGAGGTCTGCGCAGTGCGGCGGAAATTGCGGAATGACGCAAGATCGGGAGGATGCGACGTCAGTGGGGACTATTTTAGTGGTCATTTGGATAGGAGTAGTTTTGTGGCTTGGACTATTTCATGGTGGCTGTGTTGTGGGAGAGGGAGCTATTCTAAACATCCTCCTACGATAAGCTGCCTCTCGTCTCTCTTGAATCCTCCAGTGCACAATTGTACATAAATAGCGTTTTTGAGTCAATGCTCTTCGATCCCACTATCGCCCAGACACAAAACTAGTGGGTCTGCGTGAGGTCATCGTCATGCGTTACGATTCACCATTAACGATAGAGTTTAGCGCTGCGTAGAAAGCAATTTGGCGGCAGGATGTGGAGCTTTATTATTACAAGAGTTTGAGCGCAAGGCAACACACTATAACCGCTTCGAGGTGATGCAGAGTCACGAAGACTTCGGGGAGGAAACCATCGTCCGTTGTGCCTGGTGTCTGTGGATCGATCATAACCTCCGTGAGCACCAAAGTTTTGGGACCACGTAACCTATGTAGAAGTCCAACATGACCCAATAGGAGTGACTAGTGTATCTAAACCATGCTTATCTGAGTCGGCCACAACTTTTATGGTTACAACAGTGCAACCTGGTTGACAAAGGAAAATGTAGTAAACGGGGTGAATCGTTACATAACAATTTATAAGAAATTGTTAATAGAATATAACTATAAGAGTTATATTCTCAGAATATTGTCATAAGGACAAATATTCTGTAGCACTTACAGTAGTTCCTAATTGGTTGATATAGGCCATTATATCAACCAACGAAGACGCGCCACGACAGACGCACGCAATGAGTGGTGAGCAGATAGTTGATTTACACATTTGTATTTAGACATAGTTAGATGAAGATAAATAGTGATTTATTGCAGACATTAACTATTATAAATACAGTTCTACTTTTTACTTTAACCAAGTACTCGCTTCTTCTTACCGTCTTCCTCTGCACGTACGAGTGTACGTGAAGTTACGAGGCACCGCCTTATTCTGTTATCAGAATAAGTAGCTTGTACTGTCACCAGTACAAGCTTCAGGGTGCCCCGTTACACCTGGTAGCACTTCGTAGTCCGTCCAAGGACCACGTTCACATCTAACATGAATATGTTGGATGATGAAGATGACCAAAGCTTTCACGCTACGCGTGACGGCTACTCCCATTTGAGCGATGTCGAATGGGATGCGGTTGAACGAATGGGTTCGACCATGGGCATCCATGCTGTTAGCGTCATGCTAGAGGCTCTCAATAGAGATGCCCAACATGCTACTATCGCCAAGTTCATTCAAAATGAACTTGACGCAGAACGCGAGAAAGTAGCCTTGCTTCACCAACAAGGTTCTCAACAAGCAGAGTTGTTGAGAGAACAGGGTGCTCAACAGTTTGAACTGTTGAGACAGCAGCAGGCTGCTGCTGGCGGGTCGATGCACTCGCGTCGACCCGAGACTTTGAAGATTGACATCTCAAAGTATAGGGGGTCGAAGAAGACTCCCTCTTGAGATGGTTCGTCGAATTGGATGACGCCATAAGGGCGCGTCGCATCGACGACGGGGATATGCAAGTTGCATTTGCCCAGTCAAATCTGGCAGGACGTGCCAAGACTTGGGCACTGGGGCTCAAGCTGCACGACCCATATGCGTTTGGGTCGTTGGAAGTCTTCAAGTCGCGGCTCAGACAAACATTTGAACCGCCTAGAGCTGAGATCATGGCTCGAACCGAACTCTTGAAGCTCAAACAGGGTAAGCGTGATGTGCACGCTTACGCGCAACATGTACGACATCTCACGAGTTGTATAAGTTCCAATCTGGTGGATGAACACACGTTGGTTTCGGTGTTCATGCAGGGTCTTGCGGATGGTCCCGTCAAGACTCGCCTGTTCCGACTTGAACTAGATTCACTAGAACAAGCCATTTCCATTGCGGAGCAGGAAGACTTCAGTCTGAGACAGGCTCGCGCCAGCTCGACATCATATCGTCAACCGAGACGATATGACAACGGAGAGGTCCAGAGCCGATGGAACTCTGTTATGTAGAGAGCGAGAAGGCTCGCTCTACAGGCTACAAGAAGTTGCAGAGATGCAACAGATGTCAAAAGACAGGACACTACGCTTACGAGTGTAGTGCCCCTCGTCCAGTGTCTCGCGACACTGGGCGTAGTGACCGTCCACCCATGAGAAAGGGGCAGGGACGAGGGTCCGCAGTTGGTGCAAAGACGCAACAACGGGATGGATCGTCAAAAAACGGACAGGATCAGTAGGTGCGGAGCACCCTACTGATCCAGCAACGTCAAGAGAATTTGTAGGCCTCTTGATGAAGGTTGCTCCCAACACACAGACGTTGTGCGTTGCTGCTCTAGGTAATGAGATCTCACTCATTACCTTGAAACTCGAAGTGACGAATAAGTTGTCCCTTCGAGCTCTAGTCGATTGTGGGGCGTCCAACAATTTTGTGCGACGCCAATCGCTAGAAGATGGTCACTTTAAATTCAGTGAATGTGACACACCTCCTACGAGGATGACGGTACGTCTTGCGACAGGCGCATCCGTAACCGTCATGAAGCGTATAGTGAAGATTCACTATACGCTAGAAGATACCCAATATGACGATGACTTCATCGTATTGGATTTGGATGACAAATTTGATGTCATCCTTGGAATACCGTGGCTCAGAAGGTACGAACCACGGGTAAACTGGCAACATCGAACAGTAACGATGCCTGCCGCTTGTTCATCAGATGGCCATCTGATGAACGTTTTGGAGCGTCCACAAGCGTGTGAATGTACTACGAGTGAGTGCGATGGCCTCACTTGTGGTACGGTCGTTAGTACGACTGCACAAAACCTTAGTGTACCAAACGGTTACACTTCGGAGCAAAGTTCCGGCGGCTGTGAGGAAAAACAGGCTGCGCCGAAGGTCCACCACTCGAATAAGTCGGGTGGACTGGGACAAAGATGTATCCCTAGAGGGGAACATCTAGAAGAGAAACAATCCATCGCTCAGGTTAAGCGAAACGATAATCCTAGATCGACTGGAGAGTCTTTCGTAGAGGATCTTGCTGTGGTTGCGCAACCCCAGCTAGAGGAAGTAAAGGGAATAAGTCCCAAGATTACAAATACGGCGGAAATAAGTTCCCCGAAACCCGCGGGAATAAGTCCCCGGGAAGACGAAGGAATAAGTCCTTCGAAGCCTGAGGGAATAAGTCCCCAGGAAATGACAGAGACATTGAATGTCATAGTCAATAACGGATCAAGTGTAGGCGCTTATACACTTGATCTGATTGCGCCTCCGAAGTTAACTTCGGAGATCACTCAGTTGCCAACGCTCGAACATAAAAGGTTCTTGCGTGATCTGCGTAGTGGCAAACTCAAGCAGATCTGCATACTCGTCGCTGACGACGAGTGTGTAACCGACGTAAGGTCAGCAACAGTGTTTACTGAGAACGAGAGAGTTCTCAGTAGTTCATCTATGGACGAGAGTGTCCAAGATGAAAAGACACGAATTGAGCGATATGACTCCCAATCATGGGAATCGCTCAAGAAAAATCCTCTCTATGAAGATTTGGTTGAATTCAAGGATGTATTCCCTGAAACTGTTCCGTGCGAATTACCGAAGGATAAAGGTATTCGACACGAGGTCGAGCTTAAACCAGGCTCGAAGTACTGTGTCATGAAGCAGTGGCCACTGCCTCGTGAACAAGTACTTGCGATCGACAAGTTCTTTGCCGATCGTTTAGCTGCGGGCCATGTGAGGGGATCAACTTCCCCACATAGCTCTCCGACCTTCTGTGTGCGAAAAGCAACAGGAGGGTGGCGGATAGTGCACGCGTTAAACAAATTGAACGCTGCAACGGTACCGGCTCAGACGCCGATACCGAGGAAGGACGTAATCATTGATGGTATGTCAAAGAGTACCATCTTTTCGTCCATGGATTTGATGGATGGCTTCTATCAAATCCTGATGCGGGAACGGGATATACCCTATACCGCAGTTAGCACGCGTAGCGGCATGCTCTGGGAATGGCTAGTAATGCCACAAGGGCTCAGCAATGCCCCTGCCACGTTCAACAGATGTGTATCACATCTGTTGAGACCAGTACGAGAGTTCGCGCCGAGTTATTTCGATGACGTATTCATCCATAGTCGAGCTATGGATGGAAAGTCGGACGTTGAGGTTCACAGGTACCACGTCCGGCAAGTTCTTACAATCATGCGAAAGCATCGATTGTATGCAAACCTCAAGAAGTGTATATTTGCAGCAAGCGAAATACCACTTCTTGGGTGCATCGTTGGTAAGAACGGTGTACGTCCTGATCCCGAAAAGATCAAGGCGATCACCGACTGGCCTGTGCCGGTCGATGTCAAAGGTCTTCGAAAATTCCTTGGGCTAGCGGCGTATTTGCATAAGTATTCACGCAATTACGCCGAGATGACTGTACACCTCTCTCGTTTGTTGAAAAAGAACGAGAGGTGGTTATGGAACGCTGAATGTCAACGCTCCTTTGAGGGTATCAAGCAGAGCTTGATACAATCCCCAGTCCTAGCAATAGCCGATCAGGACAGGCCATTTCATGTGGTCTGTGATGCCAGCGATTTCGCAATCGGCTGTGCATTAATGCAGTACGACCTAAAAGGCGTTGAACGCGTCGTCTGCTATCAGTCGCGTCAGCTGCAACCAGCTGAGCGGAACTATCCAGTGCATGACAAGGAGCTCCTTGCCATGAAGTATGCACTCGCGAAGTTCAGAGTCTATCTATTAGGAGATAGACCCTTCGTTGTTTACACTGACCATGCGTCATTACGCACGGCAGTGAACAGCCCGCACCTTTCACAACGAATGGCGCGGTGGTTGTCATTCTTTGCAGAATACAACTTTACGGTCGAGTACAAACCAGGACGACTTAATGTCGTCGCTGATGCACTCTCACGTCGTCCCGACTTTGAAACAGTCGCGAAACCCAACAGTGAGACAGTCACTGTTGCGGTTATGACGTCCTCAGTCCCATCTACAACGTTGTATGATGATGTGAGGCGGGCATACGCCCAAGATGGTGAGATTGTGAAGTTGTTGTCACATCTTTCCCAACCATCTCGAGAATCGTTGAAACGATTGTCGCCTGCGTATCGATCTGCATCAGATCGATACACTACTCGTAACGGTTTACTGTATTATACAGCCGTTTCTGGTGACACACCACGTGTTGTTATCCCAGATGATACTGATCTGCGTTTGCGGATCATGTTCGAGTATCACGATGCTCCTATAGGAGGACATCGTGGCCGAGAGAAAACATATCTCACGGTAAGTCGAGACTTTTACTGGCCCCGCCAGTATCAGTTTGTGCGAAAGTATGTTCGCGCATGCGAAGTCTGCCAACGAGTGAAGTCAAGTCCTTCACTGCGTGCACCTTTACAGCCTCTACCGGTTCCGGCTGAGTGCTGGTAATCCATCTCAATGGATTTTGTCTTCGGGTTACCCAAAGACGCACGCGGGAATACGGGTATTCTTGTATTTGTTGACAGATTCAGCAAAATGGTACACCTTGTGGCTGTACCAGAGTCAATCACGGCAAGTGGCTGTGCTTGTGTCTTTATTGACACCATCTTCCGACTTCATGGGTTGCCCCGTGAGCTCGTATCAGACAGAGATCCACGACTCACTGCTGATTTCTGGCGTTCCGTGTTCAAATCACTCGGAACGCGCTTGAAGATGTCGACATCTGATCATCCAGAGTCAGATGGTCAGACGGAACGTGCCAATCGTGTCCTTGAAGAGATACTTCGAGGATACGTACACTCCTTTAAGAGTTGGAGTGAGCTTTTGCCAATGTTAGAGTTTGCCATCAACAACTCGGTGCATGCGTCCACGACACATACACCGTTTTACGTTAATGGTTTACGCCATCCGCGTGTACCCACCTTACTAAAGTGTAACTCTGGTTAAAGGGGGGGAGGGACTCGCGCGAGCAAAAACCGATTTGTTCACGCTCATCACGCTCTGACGAAGAAGTCATTGCGTTTGATGCCGATATCGATAACATCGATATCGAAGAAGATGATGCCAGTGAGAGTGCGAAAGCCCTCACTGAAGAAGATGATCCCAGTGAGAGTGCGGAAGCCCTCACTGAAGAAAAGGTTGATGTTGCTGCAGTGCGCTCACAGCACACTGAAGCTAACGAGTCATCAGATGAGTTCATACTGGCTCGTGAAACGGTAGTCCGTTTTGTGCAAGACTCCATCGCCGAAGCGGTGGATAAGCAAAAGCAAAACGCTGACAAGAATGGAAGGGCAAACACTCTTTTATTTAATAAAGGTGACTTAGTCCTACTGTCTAAGGTTAATCTACCAAAGCATGTAGTGACTAACTTGGGTAGCAGTAAACTACTACCCAAGTACATCGGCCCATTTCGTGTATTGCACCGCCTAGGCAATGCATACACGATCGAGTTACCACGTAAGATGCGAACGCATCCCACGTTTTACGTTGGTCGGCTTAAGCCGTACCATCAGTACGCTGCTTCTTCCGATGAAGAACGCCCTTGCGCTCAAGCATCTCGCAGAGAGCCTTGTGCTCCCGATGGTGGGCATCAACAAGGGTCTGAAGAGCAGCTATCTCATCCCGAGACCGATCAACAATCCCACGAGCTACCCTTATCTCGTTACGAAGAGATGTCAGAGATCTCTCGTTCTCAAGCTGAGCAAAGGCAAACTCAGCTCGATGCTTCGAGGCAGTGTCCACCATCTGGAGACGCCTATACCGCTCATGCTCGAGATCGTCGCGTAACCCTTGCGTTACGCGATCAAAGAAGCTCTCGGGAACACACCGATCCACATGATCGTGTGGAGAGCGTCTTTCCTCCTCCTCCACCTCCATTAGAGGACTCTCGCGGTGGCCAGCGCTATCTAGTTGAGCAGCTGTTGAACCACCGCGACGTGAACGGACGTCGGACGAGTTACCTCGTCCGGTGGCGCGGCTATCCCCCGTCCTGGGATTCTTGGGAGCCCCGCTCCCAATTGATGGTTGACGTACGGGGTATGGTCGAGCAGTACGACGCGGCACATCCTGTGCCGCAGAAGGACCGCCGGAGAAAGTCTTCCCGGCACGGTCGTAAAGGGATTTCAGGTTGTCAATCCCTTCGTACATCTCAGTAGAGACACGTACGCGCCACCACGGGCTGGTAAGGAGGTAAGCCTCCTTAGGTGCTCGTGCAGAGTTGTTCACACAACATGGGCACGAGTCTCCCCAAGAGAGGCAGGGTAATCCTTTCTCCCTTGACAGACGATGCAGCTTGTAGCGTGCACCTGTCGGGGTTCGCTTTTCAAACTTATCACGAGCTTTGATAAGTTTGTCGTTCCAAGCGTCACGACCTACATCCTCGAGGTTATGGATGTAGGCGTTCCACGCCTGAAGTAGTGAGGGACCATCACGTTTGTGATTCCCACTGTACCATCGATGCCTAAAGAAAGCATCGATGGAGAATTCGTGTTCAGCGCGATAGTCTTTCGCGCTGGGGTCAAGGTGATGGATCCTTGACGAATCGAACAATCGTGTTCGATAACGATCACTCGTCGTCGCCGACAAGTGATCCATGACTGATCTGGGAGGCATCCATGCCTTCTTCTCAGGAGCGAGACGCAACACATTGCGGTCCCGCTCTTCCTGCGATGTGCCAACAGAAGTACTGGCACCTCGCTGTGAAGTGGTGTCCATTGGAGAACCGACACCACTGTTAGCGCCCGAGTCTCGCGACCTCGAGCGCCTTCGCTTCGGCGATGGTTCATCTGATTCGTCAGATGAACCAAAGATGCTGCGACGCAAAGCATCGTCCATGCCACGCTTGGCAGGCGGCTTGGATTCAATTGCCGTCGATACGGATCCGTCATCCGTATCAGGAGAGTACGAGACACCGAGCTCGTACTCTGTGAAGACACGAGTGTCTTCATGACCAGCGCCTGCGTCACCAAGTGACACAGGCTGGGTCTCTTTAGCAACCGATGGGACATCAGTTGCTGTTGTTTCTGCTTCGGCGTCCGCACAGAGACGTGCAGACGCGCTCTCGGCGGCCTTGCTCGCGCATCGCACGGGCTTGTTTACCATGCGATGAAATGTTGGAAAGTGGACGCGGACCAACAAGTGCAAACCCTGTCCCAAATGATTTGGGACGAGTATCCATTTAGTCAATCAGTCACTAAAGTGACTGATGGTTAAGGGGGGTGATGTAACGGGGTGAATCGTTAAATAACAATTTATAAGAAATTGTTAATAGAATATAACTATAAGAGTTATATTCTCAGAATATTGTCATAAGGACAAATATTCTGTAGCACTTACGAGTAGTTCCTAATTGGTTGATATAGGACATTATATCAACCAACGAAGACGCGCCACGACAGACGCACGCAATGAGTGGTGAGCAGATAACTGATTTACACATTTGTATTTAGACATAGTCAGATGAAGATAAATAGGGATTTATTGCAGACATTAACTATTATAAATACAGTTCTACTTTTTACTTTAACCAAGTACTCGCTTCTTCTTACCGTCTTCCTCTGCACGTACGAGTGTACGTGAAGTTACGAGGCACCGCCTTATTCTGTTATCAGAATAAGTAGCTTGTACTGTCACCAGTACAAGCTTCAGGGTGCCCCGTTACACCTGGTAGCATTTTTTCGTAGTCCGTTCAAGGACCACGTTCACATCTAACATGAATATGTTGGATGATGAAGATGACCAAAGCTTTCACGCTACGCGTGACGGCTACTCCCATTTGAGCGATGTCGAATGGGATGCGGTTGAACGAATGGGTTCGACCATGGGCATCCATGCTGTTAGCGTCATGCTAGAGGCTCTCAATAGAGACGCCCAACATGCTACTATCGCCAAGTTCATCCAAAATGAACTTGACGCTGAACGCGAGAAAGTAGCCTTGCTTCACCAACAAGGTTCTCAACAAGCAGAGTTGTTGAGAGAACAGGGTGCTCAACAGTTTGAACTGTTGAGACAGCAGCAGGCTGCTGCTGGCGGGTCGATGCACTCGCGTCGACCCGAGACTTTGAAGATTGACATCTCAAAGTACAGGGGGGTCGAAGAAGACTCCCTCTTGAGATGGTTCGTCGAATTGGATGACGCCATAAGGGCGCGTCGCATCGAAGACGGGATATGCAAGTTGCATTTGCCCAGTCAAATCTGGCAGGACGTGCCAAGACTTGGGCACTGGGGCTCAAGCTGCACGACCCATATGCGTTTGGGTCGTTGGGAGTCTTCAAGTCGCGGCTCAGACAAACGTTTGAACCGCCTAGAGCTGAGATCAGGGCTCGAACCGAACTCTTGAAGCTCAAACAGGGTAAGCGTGATGTGCACGCTTACGCGCAACATGTACGACATCTCACGAGTTGTATAAGTTCCAATCTGGTGGATGAACACACGTTGGTTTCGGTGTTCATGCAGGGTCTTGCGGATGGTCCCGTCAAGACTCACCTGTTCCGGCTTGAACTAGATTCACTAGAACAAGTCATTTCCATTGCGGAGCAGGAAGACTTCAGTCTGAGACAGGATCGCGCCAGCTCGACATCATATCGTCAACCGAGACGATATGACAGCGGAGGTCCAGAGCCGATGGAACTCTGTTATGTAGAGAGCGAGAAGGCTCGCTCTACAGGCTACAAGAAGTTGCAGAGATGCAACAGATGTCAAAAGACAGGACACTACGCTTACGAGTGTAGTGCCCCTCGTCCAGTGTCTCGCGACACTGGGCGTAGTGACCGTCCACCCATGAGAAAGGGGCAGGGACGAGGGTCCGCAGTTGGTGCAAAGACGCAACAACGGGATGGATCGTCAAAAAAACGGACAGGATCAGTAGGTGCGGAGCACCCTACTGATCCAGCAACGTCAAGAGAATTTGTAGGCCTCTTGATGAAGGTTGCTCCCAACACACAGACGTTGTGCGTTGCTGCTCTAGGTAATGAGATCTCACTCATTACCTTGAAACTCGAAGTGACGAATAAGTTGTCCCTTCGAGCTCTAGTCGATTGTGGGGCGTCCAACAATTTTGTGCGACGCCAATCGCTAGAAGATGGTCACTTTAAATTCAGTGAATGTGACACACCTCCTACGAGGATGACGGTACGTCTTGCGACAGGCGCATCCGTAACCGTCATGAAGCGTATAGTGAAGATTCACTATACGCTAGAAGATACCCAATATGACGATGACTTCATCGTATTGGATTTGGATGACAAATTTGATGTCATCCTTGGAATACCGTGGCTCAGAAGGTACGAACCGCGGGTAAACTGGCAACATCGAACAGTAACGATGCCTGCCGCTTGTTCATCAGATGGCCATCTGATGAACGTTTTGGAGCGTCCACAAGCGTGTGAATGTAATACGAGTGAGTGCGATCGCCTCACTTGTGGTACGGTCGTTAGTACGACTGAACAAAACCTTAGTGTACCAAACGGTTACACTTCGGAGCAAAGTTCCGGCGGCTGTGAGGAAAAACAGGCTGCGCCGAAGGTCCACCACTCGAATAAGTCGGGTGGACTGGGACAAAGATGTATCCCTAGAGGGGAACATCTAGAAGAGAAACAATCCATCGCTCAGGTTAAGCGAAACGATAATCCTAGATCGACTGGAGAGTCTTTCGTAGAGGATCCTGCTGTGGTTGCGCAACCCCAGCTAGAGGAAGTAAAGGGAATAAGTCCCAAGATTACAAATACGGCGGAAATAAGTTCCCCGAAACCCGCGGGAATAAGTCCCCGGGAAGACGAAGGAATAAGTCCTTCGAAGCCTGAGGGAATAAGTCCCCAGGAAATGACAGAGACATTGAATGTCATAGTCAATAACGGATCAAGTGTAGGCGCTTATACACTTGATCTGATTGCGCCTCCGAAGTTAACTTCGGAGATCACTCAGTGCCAACGCTCGAACATAAAAGGTTCTTGCGTGATCTGCGTAGTGGCAAAGTCAAGCAGATCTGCATACTCGTCGCTGACGACGAGTGTGTAACCGACGTAAGGTCAGCAACAGTGTTTACTGAGAACGAGAGAGTTCTCAGTAGTTCATCTATGGACGAGAGTGTCCAAGATGAAAAGACACGAATTGAGCGATATGACTCCCAATCATGGGAATCGCTCAAGAAAAATCCTCTCTATGAAGATTTGGTTGAATTCAAGGATGTATTCCCTGAAACTGTTCCGTGCGAATTACCGAAGGATAAAGGTATTCGACACGAGGTCGAGCTTAAACCAGGCTCGAAGAACTGTGTCATGAAGCAGTGGCCACTGCCTCGTGAACAAGTACTTGCGATCGACAAGTTCTTTGCCGATCGTTTAGCTGCGGGCCATGTGAGGGGATCAACTTCCCCACATAGCTCTCCGACCTTCTGTGTGCGAAAAGCAACAGGAGGGTGGCGGATAGTGCACGCGTTCAACAAATTGAACGCTGCAACGGTACCGGCTCAGACGCCGATACCGAGGAAGGACGTAATCATTGATGGTATGTCAAAGAGTACCATCTTTTCGTCCATGGATTTGATGGATGGCTTCTATCAAATCCTGATGCGGAACAGGATATACCCTATACCGCAGTTAGCACGCGTAGCGGCATGCTCTGGGAATGGCTAGTAATGCCACAAGGGCTCAGCAATGCCCCTGCCACGTTCAACAGATGTGTATCACATCTGTTGAGACCAGTACGAGAGTTCGCGCCGAGTTATTTCGATGACGTATTCATCCATAGTCGAGCTATGGATGGAAAGTCGGACGTTGAGGTTCACAGGTACCACGTCCGGCAAGTTCTTACAATCATGCGAAAGCATCAATTGTATGCAAACCTCAAGAAGTGTATATTTGCAGCAAGCGAAATACCACTTCTTGGGTGCATCGTTGGTAAGAACGGTGTACGTCCTGATCCCGAAAAGATCAAGGCGATCACCGACTGGCCTGTGCCGGTCGATGTCAAAGGTCTTCGAAAATTCCTTGGGCTAGCGGCGTATTTGCATAAGTATTCACGCAATTACGCCGAGATGACTGTACACCTCTCTCGTTTGTTGAAAAAGAACGAGAGGTGGTTATGGAACGCTGAATGTCAACGCTCCTTTGAGGGTATCAAGCAGAGCTTGATACAATCCCCCAGTCCTAGCAATAGCCGATCAGGACAGGCCATTTCATGTGGTCTGTGATGCCAGCGATTTCGCAATCGGCTGTGCATTAATGCAGTACGACCTAAAAGGCGTTGAACGCGTCGTCTGCTATCAGTCGCGTCAGCTGCAACCAGCTGAGCGGAACTATCCAGTGCATGACAAGGAGCTCCTTGCCATGAAGTATGCACTCGCGAAGTTCAGAGTCTATCTATTAGGAGATAGACCCTTCGTTGTTTACACTGACCATGCGTCATTACGCACGGCAGTGAACAGCCCGCACCTTTCACAACGAATGGCGCGGTGGTTGTCATTCTTTGCAGAATACAACTTTACGGTCGAGTACAAACCAGGACGACTTAATGTCGTCGCTGATGCACTCTCACGTCGTCCCGACTTTGAAACAGTCGCGAAACCCAACAGTGAGACAGTCACTGTTGCGGTTATGACGTCCTCAGTCCCATCTACAACGTTGTATGATGATGTGAGGCGGGCATACGCCCAAGATGGTGAGATTGTGAAGTTGTTGTCACATCTTTCCCAACCATCTCGAGAATCGTTGAAACGATTGTCGCCTGCGTATCGATCTGCATCAGATCGATACACTACTCGTAACGGTTTACTGTATTATACAGCCGTTTCTGGTGACACACCACGTGTTGTAATCCCAGATGATACTGATCTGCGTTTGCGGATCATGTTCGAGTATCACGATGCTCCTATAGGAGGACATCGTGGCCGAGAGAAAACATATCTCACGGTAAGTCGAGACTTTTACTGGCCCCGCCAGTATCAGTTTGTGCGAAAGTATGTTCGCGCATGCGAAGTCTGCCAACGAGTGAAGTCAAGTCCTTCACTGCGTGCACCTTTACAGCCTCTACCGGTTCCGGCTGAGTGCTGGTAATCCATCTCAATGGATTTTGTCTTCGGGTTACCCAAAGATGCACGCGGGAATACGGGTATTCTCGTATTTGTTGACAGATTCAGCAAAATGGTACACCTTGTGGCTGTACCAGAGACAATCACGGCAAGTGGCTGTGCTTGTGTCTTTATTGACACCATCTTCCGACTTCATGGGTTGCCCCGTGAGCTCGTATCAGACAGAGATCCACGATTCACTGCTGATTTCTGGCGTTCCGTGTTCAAATCACTCGGAACGCGCTTGAAGATGTCGACATCTGATCATCCAGAGTCAGATGGTCAGACGGAACGTGCCAATCGTGTCCTTGAAGAGATACTTCGAGGATACGTACACTCCTTTAAGAGTTGGAGTGAGCTTTTGCCAATGGTAGAGTTTGCCATCAACAACTCGGTGCATGCGTCCACGACACACACACCGTTTTACGTAAATGGCTTGCGCCATCCGCGTGTACCCACCTTACTAAAGTGTAACTCTGGTTAAAGGGGGGGAGGGACTCGCGCGAGCAAAAACCGATTTGTTCACGCTCATCACGCTCTGACGAAGAAGTCATTGCGTTTGATGCCGATATCGATAACATCGATATCGAAGAAGATGATGCCAGTGAGAGTGCGAAAGCCCTCACTGAAGAAGATGATCCCAGTGAGAGTGCGGAAGCCCTCACTGAAGAAAAGGTTGATGTTGCTGCAGTGCGCTCACAGCACACTGAAGCTAACGAGTCATCAGATGAGTTCATACTGGCTCGTGAAACGGTAGTCCGTTTTGTGCAAGACTCCATCGCCGAAGCGGTGGATAAGCAAAAGCAAAACGCTGACAAGAATGGAAGGGCAAACACTCTTTTATTTAATAAAGGTGACTTAGTCCTACTGTCTAAGGTTAATCTACCAAAGCATGTAGTGACTAACTTGGGTAGCAGTAAACTACTACCCAAGTACATCGGCCCATTTCGTGTATTGCACCGCCTAGGCAATGCATACACGATCGAGTTACCACGTAAGATGCGAACGCATCCCACGTTTTACGTTGGTCGGCTTAAGCCGTACCATCAGTACGCTGCTTCTTCCGATGAAGAACGCCCTTGCGCTCAAGCATCTCGCAGAGAGCCTTGTGCTCCCGATGGTGGGCATCAACAAGGGTCTGAAGAGCAGCTATCTCATCCCGAGACCGATCAACAATCCCACGAGCTACCCTTATCTCGTTACGAAGAGATGTCAGAGATCTCTCGTTCTCAAGCTGAGCAAAGGCAAACTCAGCTCGATGCTTCGAGGCAGTGTCCACCATCTGGAGACGCCTATACCGCTCATGCTCGAGATCGTCGCGTAACCCTTGCGTTACGCGATCAAAGAAGCTCTCGGGAACACACCGATCCACATGATCGTGTGGAGAGCGTCTTTCCTCCTCCTCCACCTCCATTAGAGGACTCTCGCGGTGGCCAGCGCTATCTAGTTGAGCAGCTGTTGAACCACCGCGACGTGAACGGACGTCGGACGAGTTACCTCGTCCGGTGGCGCGGCTATCCCCCGTCCTGGGATTCTTGGGAGCCCCGCTCCCAATTGATGGTTGACGTACGGGGTATGGTCGAGCAGTACGACGCGGCACATCCTGTGCCGCAGAAGGACCGCCGGAGAAAGTCTTCCCGGCACGGTCGTAAAGGGATTTCAGGTTGTCAATCCCTTCGTACATCTCAGTAGAGACACGTACGCGCCACCACGGGCTGGTAAGGAGGTAAGCCTCCTTAGGTGCTCGTGCAGAGTTGTTCACACAACATGGGCACGAGTCTCCCCAAGAGAGGCAGGGTAATCCTTTCTCCCTTGACAGACGATGCAGCTTGTAGCGTGCACCTGTCGGGGTTCGCTTTTCAAACTTATCACGAGCTTTGATAAGTTTGTCGTTCCAAGCGTCACGACCTACATCCTCGAGGTTATGGATGTAGGCGTTCCACGCCTGAAGTAGTGAGGGACCATCACGTTTGTGATTCCCACTGTACCATCGATGCCTAAAGAAAGCATCGATGGAGAATTCGTGTTCAGCGCGATAGTCTTTCGCGCTGGGGTCAAGGTGATGGATCCTTGACGAATCGAACAATCGTGTTCGATAACGATCACTCGTCGTCGCCGACAAGTGATCCATGACTGATCTGGGAGGCATCCATGCCTTCTTCTCAGGAGCGAGACGCAACGCATTGCGGTCCCGCTCTTTCTGCGATGTGCCAACAGAAGTACTGGCACCTCGCTGTGAAGTGGTGTCCATTCGAGAACCAAAACCACTGTTCGCGCGCCTTCGCTTCGGCGATGGTTCATCTGATTCGTCAGATGAACCAAAGATGCTGCGACGCAAAGCATCGTCCATGCCACGCTTGGCAGGCGGCTTGGATTCAATTGCCGTCGATACGGATCCGTCATCCGTATCAGGAGAGTACGAGACACCGAGCTCGTACTCTGTGAAGACACGAGTGTCTTCATGACCAGCGCCTGCATCACCAAGTGACACAGGCTGGGTCGCTTTAGCAACCGATGGGACATCAGTTGCTGTTGTTTCTGCTTCGGCGTCCGCACAGAGACGTGCGGACGCGCTCTCGGCGGCCTTGTTCGCGCATCGCACGGGCTTGTTTACCATGCGATGAGATGTTGGAAAGTGGACGCGGACCAACAAGTGCAAACCCTGTCCCAAATGATTTGGGACGAGTATCCATTTAGTCAATCAGTCACTAAAGTGACTGATGGTTAAGGGGGGGTGATGTAACGGGGTGAATCGTTACATAACAATTTAAAAGAAATTGTTAATAGAATATAACTATAAGAGTTATATTCTCAGAATATTGTCATAAGGACAAATATTCTGTAGCACTTACGAGTAGTTCCTAATTGGTTGATATAGGACATTATATCAACCAACGAAGGCGCGCCACGACAGACGCACGCAATGAGTGGTGAGCAGATAACTGATTTACACATTTGTATTTAGACATAGTTAGATGAAGATAAATAGGGATTTATTGCAGACATTAACTATTATAAATACAGTTCTACTTTTTACTCTAACCAAGTACGCGCTTCTTCTTACCGTCTTCCTCTGCACGTACGAGTGTACGTGAAGTTACGAGGCACCGCCTTATTCTGTCATCAGAATAAGTAGCTTGTACTGTAACCAGTACAAGCTTCAGGGTGCCCCGTTACAGATGAAGAGCGGCCAACAGGTCGAATGAGTCCGACCCCTCCTCACACCCAGGGAACCAATAAACTGCGCGGCGAGGACGAGGCAAGTGCCGGAAGAAATGGTCCAGAAAGATGTCGACGTCACACCGATGAACGGCCATCCCTGCGAAGATCTGACCGACGATCTCACGCCACGCCAAATACGCCTTACTCCGCCGTTTCTTCCGGGCGCTGTAGTACGAGGCTAAGAAGGAGATCGTGTGGGCTTGGTCCTGCGAGATACAGAGACAAGGAGTAGCCTCCCATAACGCCCGATTGTGTTCGGTCTCAAAGACCTTGTAAGCTTCAGCCAGACCGGCGTGACCACGCTGTCGACTTTGCCACCTTTGGAGTCGGCACCGGTCATCTCTCGTATGAGGTCGCTCCTTGTCGTGACTGCTGTCGTTACCGCTCCTGTCGACGTCCCATTCGGCTTCATCGAAGGACCCCGTCGGCGGCCATCCTTCCATGAGCGTACTACCTGTTGATGTGAAGGCGTTTGTTTTGCCGTGATAAGGCCTATAATGATCGATTGGCCCTGATGTCTTGTTCGCCGCATTACTGGTCGCTCCGATGTGGGCGCTTGGAACGGGAGTCAGGTGACTCCAGCGCTCTTGCGTCGCAGCTTCGCGAGAAGTTGCAGCATGAGATGACGCTGACCAACCACTGGCGACAGCAAGTCGACCTTCGACATTGTCGGATGTCTCTCTTCGTTGCAGAGCTCAATCACTATAATTTCGCAGGCGAGCCTCTAAAGGGTAGTTTGGTGTCGCTTAAGGGACGCCACAAGACTCGACCACAGGTGATCGACCCCCTGCTCCCGCCGCCATTGAGCGGCCTCTGCGGGAGTCTTCTCGCACCCTCAGCATAACCGGCTAAATGGGTAAAGGTGAGCACGCCGGACGTCCCAATGGTGAGGAAGACGGTTTCCAAGACTTCTGGAACAGCTGCGTCGCCAATCGTCCCGAAATCTTCTGACTCTCAGTTCCGACAGCGAACCGATACAGGCTGCCATGGCGAGATCTCGTTCTTCCCGTCGTCGGATTAAGACTGCGCCTCTGCCTTCCTCTGCGGCCCCGACTCCCAAGCCAAAGGCTTCAACCCTCGGTCTCTTACCAAGATCGTGTTCGGCTAGTCCGGGCCCGAGTCCGAGCTGCCACCTCAGAAGGAGGTGACCACCCAGCGGCTCGCAGTTTCGTTTTGTCAGCCAGCGAGTACCTGCTCCCGCAAGAGGCCATGATTCTCGGCACAACTCAGGAGAGGATCTTCACCTCTATTTATTTGGTGCCTTGGTTGGTCGGCCTGGTCAGCTCCTGGTCGATCGTCACCATGACGCCTAGCGACCTGGCTGACCAATTGAGGAACCCTGTGGTTAAATCGGTCCACCAAACGAAATTTTGATCGTCCAACGAAATGGAAATCTTCGCTAATCACTCCTCCCAAGGTAAGGAGCCTGATAGATACGAATCCTTGGTTAGCCGCCCAGGTCCCTCTTCCTCCCGTGTCGTTCAAGGTGGTCGGCTAGTCCGCTGACCCGGCTGACGCGTACGCGACTTTTGAGACTGAGCATGCTCAAGCACTCCGGGAGGCTACTCACTGCCTCTAGATCTCGCAGGACCAAGCCCGCACAAGCTCCTTCTTAGCCTTGTACTACAGCGCCCGGAAGAAACGGCGGAGTAAGGCGTATTTGGCGTGGCGTGAGATCGTCGGTCAGATCTTCGCAGGGATGGCCGTTCATCGGTGTGACGTCGACATCTTTCTGGACCCTTTCTTACGGCTCGTCCTCGCCAAGCAGTTTATTGGTTCCCTGGGTGTGAGGAGGGGTCGGACTCGGTCGACCTGTTGGCCGCTCTTCATCTCTCGGACTCTACGTGACCATGGATCTCCCAGTATCGACTCACCTATGAGCCCCACCCAGGAACCAAGGTCGCTCGCCTTCAGAACAAATTTCGTCCCTTCTTCGTAGGCGTAATCGCTTGAATTGACCTGCTTACCATTAGTTTTGCATTCACATTGTCCGCTTGTTGCATGTTAACCACTCTGCCACATCTTTTCCTTTGTCAACCAGCGTTGCCCTGCTTTGTTAACCATAAAAAGTTGTGGCCGACTCCAGATAAGCCGTGGTACCTTAGATACACTTAGTCACTCCTATTGGGTCATGTTGGACTTCTACATAGCGTTACGTGGTCCCAAAAATTTGGGTCGCTCACGGAGGTCATGATCGATCCACAGACGACCAGGCCGACCAACGGGCGACTGGTTTCCTCCCCCGCGACTAGTCTTCGTGACTCTGCATCACCCTGAAGCGGTTATAGCGTGCCGCCTTGCGCTCAAACTCTTGTAATAAAGCTCCGCAATTAAAATTTACTTCGTCGACCCATGAGGGATCCGCGTGACCCTTTCAACGGATTTGGAGCTCGCGCCGTTGCCTACCGTATCGCGTCTTCTTGCTGATAAGGCTTTCTAATATCTCTTCCACTTCGTATTCGTCTTCCTCCAGTTCAAGCGTCCAGATATCCTCTGGCAACAAACATTCGTCGAAGTCGATCCGGTCGGCCTTGTTCACTGTTAGCCGGTCACCTGGGCGACCAGGGAATTTCTTGACCCTTTTCAGCTTGAAAATGTGAACGATCGGGAATAATCTGTACTTCGTATTCCTTACGTCCAACTTGCCGCACATTCACCGACCAACTCCAAAACTCAAAACTTCATATGCCAGAGGTGAGCCAATTATTTGGCGTACCCTTCCTTCACACATTCTAGGTAGAGCCACACTTGGATACCTGGCCGAACCTTGTGGCCGACCACTTGTTCATTATGAGTTAGCAACCGGGCTTGACTGTCCAGCCGTAAATACTCGTTCACCTGTTCCCCCACATTCTATCATAAATGGTGTATCGTGACGCATGGCGATTACCCTCACGCAGACCAAATATTTTTGTGTCTGGGCGATAGTGGGATCGAAGAGCATGACTCAAAAGGGATATTTATGAACAATTGTATACTGAAGGATTTAAGTTAGACGCGAGGTAGCTAATCGAAGGAGAGTGTTCAGATCTTTCCTGGGAGAGGGGAGCTGTCGGTAAAGACGTTTTGTTTGTGAAGTTTTGGTGGCTTTGCAGACGTGATTTGAGCAAGTCTGTTGTGACTTTTTGCTCTTTGTCGAATTTTTTACCAATTTGAATTGGCGACAACGCAAATTTGGAGCAACATTTAGCGAATGTCACTGTCACGTCTACTGGAGCTGCGTCATGATGTGTCACGCGTTTTGAAATATAACAGATATGTGGCAATTCTCTATTATATTATGACTATCCCGCTATTTTGCAGCCCTTGCGTACGAGGCACGCAGACGTCCGACCGTAGAGACCAGCTCAAGAATGTAGCCCCTCAGTATAATGCTTGACATCAGTATCAATGTTGCTTTGTCGAGCCGTACAGGCAAGTCGATAAATTAGAGCGCGTGATGCTATCGAAAAATGAGTAGATTTGTGCGCGATTGTTTGTGCAGTAATACTGCAGACTTCATGTGTCAATTGAGATGGTCCTCCTTCATATTCTTTGCGGTGGCCTAAGCTATGGACAATTTGACTTTAAAAAGAGATTGATGCTACTTTATCAAGCCCTCCCATAATTAACAAAGGCTTTATGCATTGACACTAAGTTCCACCAGATTCTGCCGAGAAAGATGTGAAAGTACTTCCGTCGTCAACAGCTTCATGCTTCATTATCATGGTAGAAGTCGTGCAGTACACGAAGTGGCAGACACCTCAATCGCATACAGCTTCACCATAGGCTGCTGTTCTGTAAACGTGGCTTTAATCAGACAAATATGAGGACGAAACTCAGACAATTACACTGATGTCACCAAAAGTAAGCATAGGGTTGGTGGGCTACATCAGAACTTACATCAGATGATTGTCAATATACACAGGCGACCTATCTGTGCTTCGCACGCAGCAAAGTTGCATGCTGAGTGCTATCGGCTTCGTCGATGCCATTTATACGAGGCAACCATGATGTAAATAATAGTACAAGCATTTTTGCAAGGATTAAAGCAGTAATTATTCCCGTTTTATTGTCTTTTTATAGAAATGCATGTCTATCCTCGACATCTTGTAAAAGTATACATTTGACAGAATTCTGCACCACCGATCTTGATTTCGGCTACCAGGGCAGCCAAAGTCAAACGCCTAATCAAACCTCGGCACAATCCCTTGTAGCGAATACTGCTCGAATCAGTAACGAAAAGTCTGCGTGACCAGTTGTCTATCTGACAGAAATTACCTAATAATATTTTTAAATGTTTTTTTTGAAAGTTATCCCCTTTTTTTTTGTTTTTAAAAAATTCCCCCTTTTTCTTTTCTCCCACCCAAAAAATTTTAAAAATACCCAAAATGACATAAAAGGCCTTTTTCACAGCTGCTCTCGAATCTTCCACGGTGCCTTCAGATTCGTCAATAAAAATCGAATTTCTTCGTAGCCAATCAGCAGGTCCACAGAATGAGTGGTGCGCACAGCTCCAAGAGCCGTGAGAGGCACCTCCATCCTCTTGGTCAGAACACGATTTAGAATTGCGAAGTCAAGTGGGCCCCCTCTCTTGAGCTCAAGGCCCTTGAGCTGGGGGCGGCTTGGGGAAATTCCCCGGACACCAGGGCAGAGAGTGCCAGCGTTTAAGCGCAGACTCCCTCGGCGATGAAGCTTTGCGAAGATGGCTAGCTTCGGCGAGTCGGAGCCTTTGTGCGGATTCGCGAGGACTGATGGTCATACTAAAAGTTATGCAATTGGCTCAGCGGCATATCGCGGACGTCGTGCCGTGGCTGCTTGGAGCTAACCCGACGGGGATTACTCATGTTGTGTTCTCCACGACACCCTTAGTGACAAAGAAATTGCTTGTGCGAGAATGGCGTACGCTGTGTTTGTCAACACAGCGGTAGTGCACAGTCGGTAGCTGTGCAGCTCTATTTGTAGTGAATCTGCATGGATGTAATTTCTTGAGCGCGTTGATGAAAGAACGTATCCCTTAAACATTCGCAGTATTTTGCTGATGGCGTCCTGGTTGCCACCTCGATTGCCGGGTGAGGCCCTCATTTCCTTGGATGTCTGAGCGCTCAGCTTATATAGGATGTAGTAGGTGTCGCATAGGAGTACGAGGATTAAAAGTTGACATGCGCGTCGTTTGAAGGCTGTGCTATAGTGGTCAACCTCATGAAACGACAATCTAGTTAATCCATACCGGATGAGTACTCGCTCCATTTATTGATTGATAGAAAAGACCTCGAGCTGAAGCGTCAACTCGGTTTACGTTCGTAGTCGCGTATCATGTCAAGGCTTTGTGTCTCTTGCATTGTCACTTTCCACGTCTCTAGGCAAGTCTTGTCTCAATCGATCTGCATAATGACATTTGCGTAGTTGCGGTGCAATGCTGCCTCGAACAAGCACGAAAGTTCATCCTTTCGGTCCTCTCTCGACTAGTACTGAGGTGTCGGATGACAAGGGCGAAGCATACACCTGCGTACAATCTCCATCTTCTCTACGTCCTCATGACGCCAAATCCACGTCGTCGCGATGGCTGTACAACTATCCACGATTGAGTTTTATGATGCTGTTCATTGTTTGCACCTACGTTGGAGGCATCTACGTGTCCACTGAAATTACTGCGTGGACCCTCGACATGCTGGGAGCTCGCAATAAACTGACGGATGCACGAAAAGTCTATGCTGCTGCAAGTCACATGCTCAACACCATGACTCAGTGCGTAGATCAAAGCTCGCTGGAGTACTTGGCTGGCGCAAAGTTGCAGTTTGAAGCCGACAGCAGACGCGTCCAGGAGATCATCGATGCTAATGACCAAGTCCTTGCCGTCCAGAGAAACGCGACGACAACGTGTGAGTTTTTGTCAGAAACTTGTTACTTGCTTGCGTGTTTCTTGATCTTGCTCACACGTTCTTCCGTCAGGCTCCAATGCTTTCTTGCTGACATTGAAGGGACAAGCGAAAGCTGTCATAGTCGACGATACGCAGTCGACGCTCGGCTGCTTCTCTCATCACTTTTACGACAACGTGCCCAAAACGGACGCTTTGTCTTTCTCGCGGACTCTGGTAGTCGCCGTTCGTGGAATATTGACAGCGCTCGTTGTCTCAGAAGTGAACGACAGCCTCTCTGCGCAGGCAACTCAATTTGAAAATCAACTCCTCGAGATGTGGCATGCCATCGATACTGTCAAGGCCTCAATCGAGAAAACTCTGGATGCCACAGTTACATCGGCGTCTCAGCAGTTGAGCTCACTGGTGCCGATAGTGTCGGACAAAGACGGTAGTGGCCATACACATCAGTCGGGCTCTCGCCTTGGCCGCCTGGGCAAAGTCGTGTCGTTAGAGCTCTCGGACCCGTTGACGTTGTCACCTGCTACAAGTCTGGGAGCAATACGTAAAGCTGGGCGAACTTTCCACAAAGCTCTCGCGGTTTTGGCAGGCGTGCACGATGGGTTCACTGACGTCCTGGACAGCGTTGACGAGACTTGGGAATTCCTAGAAAAGCAGCTGAATGCCACCGTTCAGCAGGCCACCCAAGTGCAAAACGAGCTCGTTTACGCAGCCAAGTCAACCGCCCAACAGATCAATAGCACGAGTACCGCGGTCCTGACTAGCTTGGATCAAGCCCGGCAGGAGATTTCCATGTCCTTTGACATTTTGCAGGAGCAGTGGCACACTGCAGTGAAAAAGCTGGTGGCCCCAAGTTCGACACCGTGGCAGAAGCTGGGAGATCGACTTGTAGCTGAGCTCACTGCAAATGAACGCCAAAGTGTGAGACCTGAACATTCAATTCAACGGAAGTACCTGCTACCGGATCGAACAGCAAACTCAAGTTTGGAGAAGGAGCACGAGAAGCAAACCATCGCGTCACGTGATCAAGGCTCGACAAGCGCGGGGTCGTCATCGGTCGATGACAACAAGTTCGACATTGACACTGCTGTGCTGCGTGCTGCGGTAGTTGACGTGAGCGCTTTCATCACCCAAGTGCTGTTCTACATAGACGTTGGCCGTCTCACCTTGCTGGTTGCAGATCTTGCCGTGGGACTGATTACTGAGTCGTACTCGGACGTGCCGATGCTGGATATCCGGGGCATCACCACAGTCGACACGATCGGAAGTATCGGGGAACTACTCCTTTGTCAGCACAGCTTTTCGGCAATCTGCTACACAATTGTGTCAAAAGCGTCCGAGTTAATGCGCGATCTCGTGACATTCCTCCTACTATTCGTCAGCGCGTTGGCGATCACCGCAGGATTATTTCTGTGGAAGAAAGACCACAACGCACACTGTCAGAGTGGAGAAACGTCGGATGTCTCTCCCCAAACCACCATCCAAAGTATCACCCGTGCCTTTTTCGAGAACAATGGCAACAGCAACAAACGCGTCGCGAATCCACTTGATGAACTCCAGAAGCATGCGATCGTCATCAACGACTCCATTTTCAACGACTACGCAGCACTGACATTGGACTCGTCAGTTGTGTGGAAAAATCAGTCCTTTGCACTTGACGATTTCAGTGACTGCGCAACAACGACAAGCAGCTTGATTCGAATGCTGCAAGATTGTGCCGTCACTACTGAAGTGGTTCTTGCTCCTGATGAGTCGCTTTCAAGTCAGTGCTTGACATCCAGTCTCACCACTGCCGCAGCACCGAAGAACCCGCTGCCTTTTGCTGAGCGATTGAGTGACGATGCACCTTTCCTATCACCAAGCACTGCATTCGAGACGTGCTTTCCAAGCGATCAGCTACTTGGGAGGGAAGAGCTCGTTGGTACGTTACAGCACAGTCTCGCATGCGCAACTGAAAAAGCAGTGTACCTCTCGTTTGCATCGTGGTGGCTACTAGTGGTGGTCTTCATTGCAAATCGCTTCGCGGTGAGGATGATCATCAAAGCTGCTGGAATGTACTGGTGGCGCTTCTTGAGCGCAAATCGATTGCAATTTGTGGGCTTTTGTCACGAAGACGGAGATATTGTGGCGCGTGGCACGCTACCGGCTGCGATCCAGAAGCACCTGCGTGAAACAAAATGGCAGATTGTCAGTCGCATCGCTGCCATTGGTTTCGTCTACGTGTGTGTCATCATCATCATTGTGATTGTTTTCCACGAAGTCGTGTAAGCAGCTTACACAAGAATTGAACTCCACCTCGTGCAAAATCATACTTCCTTTTGCTCACGCTTACACAATCTGCTTCTGTGGCTGTAGCACTTACTCCATCGCAAAGATTCCACCTAGCCCATGCAGCACAGCACTAAGCCAATGCAACATGTATTCTGTGTCTGCTCCATAGTCCCTATTCCAAGGCAACAATGTCCGCCACTTCATGCAGCGTACCACCGAACGACTCATCTTCTGGACTCCGAATCTTCACTGCGTCATTCCCATCCATGTTTGCACCGTTTGCGAAACACACGCGGAAAGCACGCACTTCGATCGCCTGCAGTGTCACTGACGTACCCGTTACAGGCAGCGTACGAGGCGACCAGTCGTATGCTTCGTCCGTCGTCTTCCACTCCAGCGTGTTAAGCTCTTTGCTCTCTTGCGACAGCTCCTTCGTGCCAGTCAAGACCAGCTCTGTCACCTCTGACACCACCGAGTTCTTGACCGAGAACAATGCGGTAAAGTCCACCGTCACAGGCTTCGAAAGACTCGAGTGTTCGTCTACTGCGTACAAGTGCGACAGACGCACCATCACACATTGTTTCGACTGCTCCTGTAGCGTTGTCAGGCCCACGTTCGGAGGAAACTCGCCCACCGTCAACCACGGCACCTTTGCCTCCACGTCAAGCGAAACGGGTTTGCGGTACACGGTCAGCGGACGGAAAAAAGTCGACTCCATCTTCGAACGCATGCTGCGCATACCATCGTCGGCGGAGTCCACGCTGATGAACAAGTTGCCGCGCACCACCAGTCCCTTGGTCACGTACGCCTTGGTAGCTTCGTCGTACACTGACTCCGTCTCGTTCAAGTGCTCTCCCGCACCCTTATTGTCGTCCGCAAGCAGGCGACGGTGAACCATCACCTCGACCTGTCCGTCCACCAAACTTGCCACTCCTTGTGCGCGGTCCGTCACCACATTCAACTGCCGCTTGTCGTCCTTGATGTATGCGCCCGTGGTCATGGGAAAGTAGTTGGCCGACACTGCCTCCCGGTCGTCATGCAGAGTCAGGTTCCACGTGTCACGGTGGTTACGCACGCGCTTCATGAACTCGAGGCCGTTCGAGTCCGTGTGCAGCGTCCTGTCAGATGCAATGCTGTTGCTGGTGTCAAAACGCACGATCACCTCTTTGCCCTTCTTGTCGCCGATCGGCACCGGTCCCACCGTCCACTCGATCTCCAAGAACTCGTCGTCGTCATTCACGCGGTATTCAAGCGTAACCCAGCTGCCGATCTTGAACGCCACACGCGGCACACTGATGAGACCATCATCGATGACAAGGCTTGTCGTCTGCAGCTCCAGCATTGTCACATCCGGTAGCATGCTGCTTGTTGCTCCATTTTTACCAGTCACCGGGTGCGTCTTGTTCGAGTCGGGAACGAATGCGTAGGCACCAGATTTCGGACCGCTGTCTTGGAAAGCTTGGTAGTATGCTACCTCCAGCGATAACGGGATCTGTATGTTCTTCTTCTTGTTGGCCAGCTTCGTGATAAAACCCGTCGCTTTGCTGATCTCGGCTCGCATGAGGTTGTTCTCCAACACAACCACGTCGTCGCTCGTAGTGAGATCGTCCAGACTGTCTGCTACAGCGTCTTCATTCTTCACGTCACGCTCTGCAACATTGTTCTCGATACTGTCGTAGTCCACACTTTTCTGCTTTACTGAAAACCGTGCTGTGCTAAGAGGCTTTAGTTCGGCACTAAACACGAGCGAATACGGCGCTACATGTGTCTCAGGATGCACCGGCAGAGCTACGAACACACCTTGCGTTCGGACCTTAGTGTCGCCCGACAGCACCGCCACATCCGCTGACTTGTGCGTGATTGGAATCGACACTGTCTGAACAGTCTTGCGCGCCAGTGCATTGTGCACTAGTACCTCAAACTCAGTGTTCCCTGTTGATACATCGCACACGCTTGTGTTGGCCTGCAAACAAAAGTGGTACGACTCCTTCTCACCAATCACGAATAGCACTTCGTTCATCTCTTTTTCGGCCTTGATGATACCATCATTCAGCCGGAGCGCGTAGTCGTCCGTGACGACTTGCTTCTCCGTTCCGGTGATAGCATCGTGGTGTTGCACAAGACCCACCGCACGCTGCAGTGCGACTAGCGTACTCGAGTGGTGGCTCTGGTAGACTGCATCCAGCTGTCGAACTTGCTGCAATAGAATGTTTGCCACGCGAGCGAAACGCTTCAACGATGGACGACTGGTATAGAAGCCCGACCAGTAGTCATCTCGATCCGAGCCGTACGGGAAAAAGTCGTCGGTTTTGACGCTCCACGTGAGTCCTTCAGCGCGCTTGAGATCCGTGTAGTAGGACAAGTTCGAGTACAGCACGTTTACCCGCCCATCCTGGTTGACGTAGTGAATGATTTTGTCCATGTTCTTAAACCAGCGACGCGAGTTGTCGTACTGGAAGTCACAACCCATTGGCACAAAGACGTGGCTGCCCTTGGACGCGTCGCCGCGCATCTTCGCGTTATTGACAAACTGCTCAACTTCGTCACAAACGTCGTAGTCATGGAGCTCTGCATCGTCTTGGACCTGGTTGGCATTGTTGCCGAAATCAAACTTACCAGGTGGACAGTAGTGATCAATGATCTCTCCCGTAAATACCTGCGACGCTTTGCCCCGCGACTTGCTCGGCCGCCAAATGAACTCGAGCTCCTTGTCTTTCTTGCGTTTGGCGTAGTCCTCATAGTCAATGCGGGCGAAATAAAGCGCGTCAAAGCCCACACCTTGCGACAGCAGCGAGCCCTGCGTAGCCGAGTGGCCGAATGGATCGATCTGCCACCCAATGCGTGGACTAATGCCGAACTCGTCCATGAGCAGCTGGTGGCCGTACGCCGTCTGGTCCACCATGGCAATGTAGTGCGTCGTGGCCTCGTCGTGCATGCACCAGCCTCCGTTGACTGTGAGGTCCAGCCGTCCCTCCTTCACGAGCCGCTTGACGACACGACGCACAGGAGCGCCCTGTTCGTGCCACCAGCGCTGGAAGAACGACTGCTCGACGAACATGAACTGGCGCTCCGGGTCGCGCACGAGCTCCTCGACGGCCGTGTCCAAGATGTACTGCACCTTCTCGACGTAGTACTGATCCACGTTGCGCAGCCAGCCCGGGTCGTCGTGGGAGTGCGCGATGAGGTGGACGTTGAGCTTCGTCGGGTCCACGCGGCTCGTGGTGTTGTACACGCCATGGCGGGGCGGGATCCACTTGCTGGGGTCGCAGCTACTTGTGGCGTCGGCGATTGTGACTGCCGTCGTCAATGCGGTGAGAGGTCCCCGCACGCGCATGTCGGGACAAGAGTGACGGGATCTCTCGGTGATGGACGAAAAGACAGAGTGAGGGACTGAGGGACTGAGGTAGTGGGGACCAATCGGGAGTGGGTGTACCCACATTTGCAAAGGATCTCCTGACCTGATTCGGCGTGATTCAAGTTGGCATCGCTGTTTGCGTCACTGTACACCCCTCCCCAACTTTTACTTTTTGTATCGCTCCACAAAGTCCTGATTTTAAACAAGACAGACGACCCGTGGGTATCCTACCGTCCAAATCTTCACAGCGTCGATCTCATCCATTCTCGCTTTACATTAGCAGAAAAGCACGCACTTCAGTCGCCTAGAGCATCACATACGTGTGCCCTGTACAGGCAGTGAACGGAAAAGCTGCGACTCCATCTTCGAACGCATGCTGCGCATACCATCGTCAGCGGAGTCCACGCTGATGAACAAGTTGCCGCGCACCACCAGTCCCTTTGTCACGTACGCCTTGGTAGCTTCGTCATACACTGACTCCGTCTCGTTCAAGTGCTCTCCCGCACCCTTATTGTCGTCCGCAAGCAGGCGACGGTGAACCATCACCTCGACCTGTCCGTCCACCAAACTTGCCACTCCTTGTGCGCGGTCCGTCACCACATTCAGCTGCCGCTTGTCGTCCTTGATGTATGCGCCCGTGGTCATGGGAAAGTAGTTGGCCGACACTGCCTCCCGGTCGTCATGCAGAGTCAGGTTCCACGTGTCACGGTGGTTACGCACGCGCTTCATGAACTCGAGGCCGTTCGAGTCCGTGTGCAGCGTCCTGTCAGATGCAATGCTGTTGCTGGTGTCAAAACGCACGATCACCTCTTTGCCCTTCTTGTCGCCGATCGGCACCGGTCCCACCGTCCACTCGATCTCCAAGAACTCGTCGTCGTCATTCACGCGGTATTCAAGCGTAACCCAGCTGCCGATCTTGAACACACACGCGGCACACTGACGAGACCATCATCAACGGCAAGACTAATCGTTTGCAGCTCCAGCATTGTCACATCCGGTAGCATGCTGCTTGTTGCTCCACTTTTACCAGTCACCGGGTGCGTCTTGTTCGAGTCGGGAACGAATGCGTAGGCACCAGATTTCGGACCGCTGTCTTGGAAAGCTTGGTAGTATGCTACCTCCAGCGATAACGGGATCTGTATGTTCTTCTTCTTGTTGGCCAGCTTCGTGATAAAACCCGTCGCTTTGCTGATCTCGGCTCGCATGAGGTTGTTCTCCAGCACAACCACGTCGTCGCTCGTAGTGAGATCGTCCAGATTGTCCGCTGCAGCATGATCATCCCCTATGTTGTTATTCATAAATGCGTACGCATTGGTCCGTACTCCGCACAGTCTTTCCATACGTTTTGCCACACAAACATGGCAATACGGCGCACTACCGTCCCATTGGCGCCATCGGACTATCAGCTCAAAACATGAATTGCTGCCTCACCGAAACATGTGCTGGTTGTCCGAGTCTTGAGCATGACCTACTCGAAAGCTGCATCCAGGGCATGTACTAACATAAAACACCCTCTCGACAAACTACTGGCAGAGCGATAGAAGCCAAGGTCACGTGCTCATCAGAGGACGTCGTGAGGCGGGCGTTGAGTTTGCTAAGTGCACGCTCCTTGTCTAAATTGCACATGTGACGAATCGAATAACGATGGACGTCGGCGCTGCATGTGTCGCACTCCATGGGAAAATTTCGATTCACGTTCAGACGCAATGGTCCGATCACTGAGGAGGCCTTTATTTGGATAGTCCGACAGTTGATTACAGGCGCGCATGTAGTCAGATCATGTCCAAAAGCGCGGGCAGTCGCACGGAGTCCACTCCGGACCTTTCGGTTTTGAAACCCAGGTGGTCAACCTGATGGATTGAGGGGATGGCTCTGATTGTGAACGGATACAATGCTGCCTAAATCAACGGCATTCCGCTCCATCCTACGATGGTGGACGCTATTTATCGTACACACAGCCTCAGCAACGCGCATCCAAATGACGCACGTGCTCGATCGTGAGCGCTCGACCCAAACTTGGCAGATTGTTTTTCGAGCCACTTTACCCATCGACATCAGCATGAGCAGCATATGGAGCAACATGCGCGTACGTCGCAGCTGGATGTTCGCGCCAAGTGTCGGAATCTTCTGCTACACTGGACACCACAACGGCTTTCGTTTCGACCACGCGATAAGTGGACGTCGCCACCTGGCCTAGTCGTTTAAGGTCGTGGGCAGCCAGGCCGTCTATGTCTGCTTTCATCAGTCCCCTAGCCCTATAGCGCTTTATTCGGGGGTCTCCCATCGTGCATTCGAGAGCGCCCACTTCGCAATTTGCCGTTCCTTGCAACAGTGACCATAGTAGCAACGACGATTGGACGGCCATGCCGCTCTTGCTAAGGACCACGGCACCCAGCCCCAGCATCGACGAGCTCGTCTTTGCAGTGACAGCGGCTCCACTGTCGTCACAACGCTCGGCGTCCTCGACCACGTCGGAGCGGTCGCTCTGCGCCACACACGACCGGCCTTCAGTTCGTCGTCGGCGCAGTACAGTCGGCACCGATTCTGAGGTTGCCGACTGGTTGCCGTCCACTTCCAACGACTTGGGGCGTCACTTCGCGATGGGACGATGCAGTCATCAAAGCGTGAAGTGTGACGGGGACGTTGCTATTACGAGCAAAGACGCAGCGGCGGAGGAAGATAAGCGCTCATCGCGTGACACTCAGCTCGAGGACGACGACCACTTATCCAGTGGCGCTAGCTTTGCGTCCGAAGCGGGGCGTATTTCTGGTGCTCGGAGCTGCATTTGCTCGTGTGCTGACGCAAACGAGTTCGGCATCACGTTGTCGTCCGTGATCATAGAAGGTCGTCAGCTGGCTGTTGTGGACAAAGAACTGCGGGACCTCCGCACGACCCTCGTGCGTAAATTGTGCTCGCGGTTGACAAAGATTTCCGGTTTCGGAAGAAGGAAGCCATCGGGTTTGAAACCAGTCGCTTGAAGTTCTCGCTTCTTGGCGCTGTCTGACACTGGGACTAGTTGTGTTGCTGAAGTCGAGCAGGCTTCGTGGCTGATACAGATTGATTTGATACTGTTAAAGTCGCGATTGCCGTCTGCTCTTCTTAATATTTAATTCGGCTTTTTCGTCTGGTTCGACATTTTGCGGTACATGTTGTTTGCATTGCACCCACGAGAATAAACGCAGGAAGACATGCCGCGCACGACCGTCTCTCTTCCGTCCCCCCCCCACAGAAGCGCGACCTTTTACCGAAGGCAGACAAAAGAAAAGGCACGTTTATCATCGAGCGTGCAGGTCTGTTAACATGGTCAGAACCCCCTTCAATAACGTGCGGCTGAACTGTCATCAGGCGTTCGGCCGTTCGAAAGCAACGGACGTTACACGTCGAAAGGCTCGCGGTTGGACCGACGGACGTGCGCTCGGTACATCATCGAAAACACCAACGACAAGACGAAAACGAGCGCTACCACGAACATAATCACTTGTGAGCGTAGTATCTGTTGAGGAGAACGCAGGGGAAACACCATAGAAACGTGCGGCGTCAGCAAGAGCTGGCTTCAAGCATAGCAAATAGGTATCTGTAATGGACGACGCACCCGCTGCGCACTCGCGTCAGCGACGTCGGACGGGTTCTTCTGCTGTCGTCTAAGCCTCTCGCTCATCTTGGAGTAGCGCTCGCCGCTGTAGATAGTGGGACCGAGCGTCACGTCGAGGCCGCGTGCGCTCTTTTTCGTGGCGTCTTTTGCCCGGTGCCGCAGTTCCATGGTCACGAGAGTACAGCGATTTGAGGTGTCCTTGATTGACAGCAGTTATGAGTTATCAATTTCGAGAGTGTGTGAGACGGACACTAAAATGGGTCCAGTGCGTCCCATTTCTCGACAAGAGTCGAGGGTTTTCTCAGATACTTCTTCGTTTTAAATCCTCAATATCAATTATGACGCTTCTATTAACGAGTAAACTCAAATATTAAGTGAAACAACACTAAATCGAGTCCACTAAGTACGCGAAATGTGCCCTATAATGGATCCACTGCGGTTCGATAAGTACGCCCCCTTTCATGCCCGAAATCGTCTCGTCGTTACAGCGTGTAACCTCTCATAGTCCAAATAGCGCGCGTAGCTGCGAGCGAACGCCTCTCCCTCTCCCCCCGCCAACCTCCTTTGCCCCTCCCCTTTACCTTCGCGTGTCTAAATCGCGCGAACCTGTCAGCATGAGTGACTGGTGGACAACAATCGGTCAGCCTTTTGCAGAGGTGCGTGTGATTTCCCTGGCTCAAGCGAGCCTACCAGACTCAGGTCCCTGGGTGTATTCGTGCCCGTAATTGATGCTAATGTATTCGTTCTGGACAGGCATTGCTGAGTCTGGACACCGTCAAGATCAAGGCGGCGTTCGCAAACGCTCCGAGGTCGTACTATGAGTACATCCGCTCCATCTATGAGCGCAGTCCGGAGCACGTGATCATTGAGACGTTTCTCATCGTGTTTGTCATTTACATCACGTTCGTCAAACGGGACAAGCCGAAAGGAGCGGCTACGAAGCTTTCGGAGCGTGAGGTTGATGAGCTGTGCGAGGAGTGGGTGCCTGAGCCTATGATCCCTTCAAATACCGTCATCGACGTCAACAAGTCCAGGCCCATCGGTGTCGTGGAAGCCACACCTGACACGCACATCAAGTTGCAGGGTTTTGACAAGCCTCTGCTGAATCTGGCTACTTTCGACTTTCTCGGTCTGGGTTCGCGCCCTGAGCTCAAAGAGGTCGCTATCAAGGCGCTCACCAAGTACGGCTGTGGGTCATGCGGACCCCGGGGCTTCTATGGAACGATCGATACGCACGAGATCTTAGAGAAGGACATCGCACAGATGATGGGGACGCCCGACTCAATCACGTTCTCGGACACGGAAGCCACGTCGTCATCGGTGCTGCCGGCTTTTGCGAAGCGTGGCGATCTGATAGTGATGGATGACGGGTGCAATGACTCGATTCTAGTGGGCGCTAATTTGGCACGTTGCACGGTGCACTACTACAAGCACAACAACTTGGAAGATCTGGAGCGCGTGCTGAGAAGCGTTCGCGATGGAGACAAAAAGAAGAACCGCGGCTCGGACTGCCAGCGTCGTTACGTGGTTACAGAAGCGCTGTTCCGCAACCACGGTGACATGATCGACTTGCCCAGGGTGGTAGAGCTGTGCGACAAGTACTTTTTCCGTCTCTTTTTGGACGAGAGCTTCTCGTTCGGTGTGCTAGGCACGTCCGGCCGTGGACTCACGCAGCACTTTGGCATGGACGTCTCCGAGGTGGCAATCATCTGCAGCTCACTTGCTGGTTCGGCTGCCAGCGTGGGTGGATTCAGCACGGGTTCGCAGGAGGTGGTGGACTTCCAACGCATCAACAGTGCTGGCTACGTGTTCTCTGCCTCAGCACCTCCATTTACGTCCGCATGCTGCTCGGAGGCCATTCGTATCATGAAGAACGAGCCGGAGCTTTTTGTTAAGCTTCGCGCCAACGCTAAACTCACGCACGATGCATTGTATGCTGGCGTGCAAGGAATGTTCAGCATCTCTGCGGCTGTTGTCTCTCCCATCGTGCATCTGCGTCTGCTGCCGGAGGTCGTGGGTCGTGTTGGCAATGAGGAAGACCAGCGGGCTGTGCAGCGCAAGGTGTGTGACGAAGTCATGCAGAAGTGTCTTGCTAAGGGCGTGGCAATCTGCTCGCCTCGTTACAAGACCTCCCAGGCACTTGAACCGTTGCCAAGTCTGCGCGTGTCGGTAACTGCCATCCATTCGTCCAAGGATTTGGAGGCAGCGTGCAAGGTTATTGCGACGGAGGCCATGGCCACGGCCAAGCAATTGCTCGCACCCTTTCGGGTGGATGCCGTCCCAGACAGGGACCTGCGACTGCGTAAACAGTAACCAACAAAGCTCCTAGCCGTTATCAAGAACGAATCCTTTATCCTCTTTGTCGAACAATATGCTGGCATTTGAGGCATGTTTACCGGACCCGAGCTTGAGTGTGCTCCGGACGTGCCTTGTGCAGTCACTTACTGGCTCTCTCCTCGTCGGTCATGCTCTGCTCGCGCTTCTGGCGGTAGATCTCGAACTGCTCATCGTTCGTATACTGTTTCAGACACGCGTTCAGAGCCCGGTTATGGTCGCGGCACTTGAAGACCATCAGGAGACCGTTGGCCTTGGAGCACTCGGCGAATTGCTCTGCGACGCTGCGACACTTGGCGATGGCGATGTCGCTCAGCTCTTGTTTTAGTTTCTACATCAGTAACGTCAGTCAGTAGCTCGTTAGGAAGGTACTACTTGGAAGGCAGGACGCACGTGCTCGGCCTGGTTGCTCCAAGACAGACGTGACGAGCGGAATTGAGTCTTCGCCGTCTCCTTGTCCACCGGGACTTCCATTGCGGACATTGATAATGAGACGACTGGCACGCTATTAGCCTCATTGAAATAGGTGCTAGCGCATTTGATCTATTTTTAGGACGGGACTTGCGTTTAGTCAAGTACAAATTAGGCGATTGGCTAATTTGTAAAGGAGGGCTGACCTCGTGGTGTTTTACTCACACAGAAATGCGGATCATTTTGCTAACACCCAACACAATGCGGATCAAGTTGCTCACATCCTCACACCCTCCGTCATTCCGGTACCCTGAACTGCCATTTCATGGATTGTATCTTGGAATAGACAATCATCGTAAACAGTCATGTAGCGGGGTCACTTGGCGGTCAAATGACCGGTCATATTGCATGGAACAAGACTTTATGCAATGTCCTGACGGAGGTGACATAGAAGAGCAATGTAACGAGGCACCCTGAAGCTTGTACTGGTGACAGTACAAGCTACTTATTCTGATGACAGAATAAGGCGGTGCCTCGTAACTTCACGTACACTCGTACGTGCAGAGGAAGACGGTAAGAAGAAGCGAGTACTTGGTTAAAGTAAAAAGTAGAACTGTATTTAGTATAGTTAATGTCTGCAATAAATCACTATTTATCTTCATCTAACTATGTCTAAATACAAATGTGTAAATCAATTATCTGCTCACCACTCATTGCGTGCGTCTATCGTGGCGCGCCTTCGTTGGTTGATATAATGGCCTATATCAACCAATTAGGAACTACTCGTAAGTGCTACAGAATATTTGTCCTTATGACGATATTCTGAGAATTTAACTCTTATAGTTATATTCTATTAACAATTTCTAATAAATTGTTATGTAACGATTCACCCCGTTACATCACCCCCCCCCTTAACCATCAGTCACTTTAGTGACTGATTGACTAAATGGATACTCGTCCCAAATCATTTGGGACAGGGTTTGCACTTGTTGGTCCGAGTCCACTTTCCAACAATTCATCGCATGGTTAACAAGCCCATGCGGTGCGCGAACAAGGCCACCGAGAGCGCGTCCGCACGTCTCTGTACGGACGCCGAAGCAGAAACCACAGCAACTGATGTCTCATCGGTTGCTGAAGCGACCCAGCCTGTGTCACTTGGTGATGCAGGCGCTGGTCATGAAGACACTCATGTCTTCACAGAGTATGAGCTCGGTGTCTCATACTCTCCTGATACGGAAGGCGGATCCGTATCGACGGCGATTGAATCCAAGCCGCCTGCCAAGCGTGGCATGGACAATGCTTTGCGTCGCAGCATCTTTGGTTCATCTGATGAATCAGATGAACCATCGCCGAAGCGTAGGCGCTCAAGGTCGCGAGACTCGGGCGCTAACAGTGGTGTCGGCTCTCCTATGGACACCACTTCGCAACGAGGTGCCAGTACTTCTGTCGGCACATCGCGAGAAGAGCGGGACCGCAATGTGTTGCGTCTCGCTCCTGAGAAGAAGGCATGGATGCCTCCAAAATCCGTCATGGATCACTTGTCGGCGACGACGAGTGATCGTTATCGAACACGATTGTTCGATTCGTCAAGGATCCATCACCTTGACCCCAGTGCGAAAAACTATCGCGCTGAAAACGAATTCTTCATCGATGCTTTCTTTAGACATCGATGGTACAGTGGGAATCACAAGCGTGATGGTCCCTCACTGCTTCAGGCGTGGAACGCCTACATCCATAACCTCGAGGATGTAGGTCGTGACGCTTGGAACGACAAACTTATCAAAGCTCGTGATAAGTTTGAAAAGCGAACCCCGACAGGTGCACGCTACAAGCTGCATCGTCTGTCAAGGGAGAAGGGATTACCCTGCCTCTCATGGGGAGACTCGTGCCCATGTTGTGTGAACAACCCTGCACGAGCACCTAAGGAGGCTTACCTCCTTACCAGCCCGTGGTGACGCGTACGTATCTCTACTGAGATGTACGAAGGGATCGACAACCTGAAATCCCTTTACGACCGTGCCGGGAAGACTTTCTCCGGCGGTCCTTCTGCGACACAGGATGTGCCGCGTCGTACTGCTCAACCAGACCCAGTACGTCGATCATCAGTTAGGAGCGGGGCTCCCAAGTATCCCAGGACGGGGGATAGCCGCGCCACCGGACGAGGTAACTCGTCCGACGTCCGTTCACGTCGCGGTAGTTCAACAGCTGCTCAACTAGATAGCGCTGGCCACCGCGAGAGTCCTCTAATGGAGGTGGAGGAGGAGGAAAGACGCTCTCCACACGATCATGGGGATCCGTGTGTTCCCGAGAGCTTCTTTGATCGCGTAACGCAAGGGTTACGCGGCGATCTCGAACACGAGCGGGACAGGCGTCTCCAACTGGCGGACGCTGTTTCGAAGCATCGAGCTGAGTTTGCCTTTGCTCAGCTTGAGAACGAGAGATCTCTGACATCTCTCTGTGACGAGCTAAGGGTAGCTCGTGGGATTGTTGATCGGTCTCGGGATGAGATAACTGCTCTTCAGACCCTTGTTGATGCCCACCATCGGGAGCACAAGGCTCTCTGCGAGATGCTTGAGCGCAAGGGCGTTCTTCATCGGAAGAAGCAGCGTACTGATGGTACGGCTTAAGCCGACCAACGTAAAACGTGGGATGCGTTCGCATCTTACGTGGTAACTCGATCGTGTATGCATTGCCTAGGCGGTGCAATACACGAAATGGGCCGATGTACTTGGGTAGTAGTTTACTGCTACCCAAGTTAGTCACTACATGCTTTGGTAGATTAACCGTAGACAGTAGGACTAAGTCTCCTTTATTAAATCGAAGAGTGTTGCCCTTCCATTCTTGTCAGCGTTTTGCTTTTGCTTATCCACCGCTTCAGCGATGGAGTCTTGCACAAAACGGACTACCGTTTCACGAGCCAGTATGAACTCATCTGATGACTCTTTAGCTTCAGTGCGCTGTGAGTGCACTGCAGCAACATCAACCTTTTCTTCAGTGAGGGCTTCCGCGCTCTCACTGGCATCATCTTCTTCTATATCGATGTTATCGATATCGGCATCAAACGCAATGACCTCTTCGTCAGAGCGTGATGAGCGTGAACCAATTCGGTTTTTGCTCGCGCGAGTCCCTCCCCCCCTTAAACCAGAGTTACACTCTAGTAAGGTGGGTACACGCAGATGGCGCAAGCCATTCACGTAAAACGGTGTATGTGTCGTGGACGCATGCACCGAGTTGTTGATGGCAAACTCTACCATGGGCAAAAACTCACTCCAACTCTTAAAGGAGTGTACGATCCTCGAAGTATCTCTTCAAGGACACGATTGGCACGTTCGGCCTGACCATCTGACTCTGGATGATCAGATGTCGACATCTTCAAGCGCGTTCCGAGTAATTTGAACACGGAACGCCAGAAATCAGCAGTGAAGCGTGGATCTCTGTCTGATACGAGTTCACGGGGCAACCCATGAAGTCGGAAGATGGTGTCAATAAAGACACAAGCACAGCCACTTGCCGTGATTGACTCTGGTACAGCCACTAGGTGTACCATTTTGCTGAATCTGTCAACAAATACGAGAATACCCGTATTCCCGCGTGCGTCTTTGGGTAACCCGAAGACGAAATCCATTGAGATGGATTCCCAGCACTCAGCCGGAACCGGTAGAGGCTGTAAAGGTGCACGCAGTGAAGGACTTGACTTCACTCGTTGACAGACTTCGCATGCGCGAACATACTTTCGCACAAAATGATACTGGCGGGGCCAGTAAAAGTCTCGACTCACCGTGATATATGTTTTCTCCCGGCCACGATGTCCTCCTATAGGAGCATCGTGATACTTGAAAATGATCCGCAAACGCAGATCAGTATCATCTGGAATGACAACACGTGGTGTGTCACCAGAAACGGCTGCATAATACAGTAACCCGTTGCGAGTAGTGTATCGATCTGATACAGATTGAAACGCAGACGACAATCGTTTTAACGATTCTCGAGATGGTTGTGAGAGATGTGTCAACAACTTCACAATCTCACCATCTTGGGAGTATGCCCGCCTCACATCATCATAAAACGTTGTAAATGGGACTGAGGACGTCATAACCGCAACAGTGACTGTCTCACTGTTGGGTTGCACGACTGGTTTAAAGTCGAGACGACGTGAGAGTGCATCAGCGACGACATTGAGTCGTCCTGGTTTGTACTCTACCGTAAAGTTGTATTCTGCAAAGAATGACAACCACCGCGCCATTCGTTGTGAAAGGTGCGGGATGTTTACTGCTGTGCGTAATGACGCATGGTCAGTGTAAAGAATGAAGGGTCTATCTCCTAATAGATAGACTCTGAACTTCGCGAGTGCATACTTCATGGCAAGGCGTTCCTTGTCATGCACTGGATAGTTCCGCTCAGCTGGTTGCAGCTGACGGTGACTGATAGCAGACGACGCGTTCAACCCTTCAAGATCGTACTGCATTAATGCACAGCCGATTGCGAAATCGCTGGCATGACAGACCACATGAAATGGCCTGTCCTGATCGGCTATTGCTAGGACTGGGGATTGTATCAAGCTCTGCTTGATAACATCAAAGGAGCGCTGACATTCAGGGTTCCATAACCACCTCTCGTTCTTTTTCAACAAACGAGAGAGGTGCACAGTCATCTCGGCGTAATTGCGTGAATACTTATGCAAATACGCCGCTAGCCCAAGGAATTTTCGAAGACTTTTGACATCAACCGGCACAGGCCAGTCGGTGATCGCCTTGATCTTTTCGGGATCAGGACGTACACCGTTCTTACCAACGATGCACCCAAGAAGTGGTATTTCGCTCGCTGCAAATATACACTTCTTGAGGTTTGCATACAATTGATGCTTTCGCATGATTGTAAGAACCTGTCGGATGTGGTACCTGTGAACCTCAACATCCGTCTTTTCATCCGTAGCTCGACTATGGATGAATACGTCATCGAAATAACTCGATGCGAGTTCTCGTACTGGTCTCAACAGATGTGATACACATCTGTTGAATGTGGCAGGGGCATTACTAAGCCCTTGTGGCATTACTAGCCATTCCCAGAGCATGACGCTAGGCGTGCTAACTGCGGTATAGGATATATCCCGTTCTCGCATAAGGATTTGATAGAAGCCATCCATCAAATCCATGGACGAAAAGATGGTACTCTTTGACATACCATCAATGATTACGTCCTTCCTTGGTATCGGCGTCTGAGCCGGTACCGTTGCAGCATTCAACTTGTTAAATGCATGCACTATCCGCTACCCTCCTGTAGCTTTTCGCACACAGAAGGTCGGAGAGCTATGCGGGGAAGTTGATTCCCTCACATGGCCCGCTGCCGAACGATCGGCAAAGAACTTGTCGGTCGCAAGTACTTGTTCACGAGGCAGTGGCCACTGCTTCATGACACATTACTTCGAGCCTGGTTTAAGCTCGACCTCGTGTCGAATACCTTTATCCTTCGGTAATTCGCACGGAACAGTTTCAGGGAATACATCCTTGAATTCAACCAAATCTTCATAGAGAGGATTTGTCTTGAGCACTTCCCACGATTGGGAGTCATATCGCTATACTCGTGTCTTTCATCGAGAACACTCTCGTCCATCGATGAACTACTGAGAACTCTCTCGTTCTCAGTAACATTGTTGCTGACCTTATGTCGGCTACACACTCGTCGTCAGCAACGAGTACGCAGATCTGTTGACTCTGCCACTAAGCAGATCACGCAAGAACCTTTTATGTTCGAGCGTTGTCAACTGAGTGATCTCCGAAGTGAACTTCGGAGGCGCAATCAGATCAAGTTTGTAAGCGCCCACACTTGATCCATCATTGACTATGACATTCAATTTCTCTGTCATTTCCTAAAGGACTTATTCTCTCAGGCCTCGAAGGACTTATTCCTTCGGCTTCCCGGGGACTTATTCCCTCGGGTTTCGGGAAACTTATTTTCACCGTATCTGTAATATCGGGACTTATTCACTTGACTTCCTCTAGCTGTGGTTGCGCAACCACAGCGAGATCATCTACGAAAGACTCTCCAGTCGATCTAGGATTATCGTTTCGCTTAACCTGAGCGATCGATTGTTTCTCTTCTAGATGTTCCCCGCTAGGGATACATCTTTGTCCCAGTCCACCCGACTTATTCGAGTGGTGGACCTTCGGCGCAGCCTGTGTTTCCTCACAGCCGCCGGAACTTTGCTCCGAAGTGTAACCGTTTGGTACACTAAGGTTTTGTGCAGTCGTACTAACGACCGTACCACAAGTGAGGCCATCGCACTCACTCGTAGTACATCCGCACGCTTGTGGACGCTCCAAAACGTTCATCAGATGGCCATCTGATGAACAAGCGGCAGGCATCGTTACTGTTCGATGTTGCCAGTTTACCCGTGGTTCGTACCTTCTGAGCCACGGTATTCCAAGGATGACATCAAATTTGTCATCCAAATCCAATACGATAAAGTCATCGTCATATTGGGTATCTTCTAGCGTATAGTGGATTTTTACTATACGCTTCATGACGGTTACGGATACGCCTGTCGCAAGACGTCCCGTCATCCTCGTAGGAGTTGTTTCACACTCACTGAACTTTAAGTGACTATCTTCTAGCGATTGGCGTTGCACAAAATTGTTGGACGCCCCACAATCGACTAGAGCTCGAAGGGACAACTTATTTGTCACTTCGAGTTTCAAGGTAATGAGTGAGACCTCATTACCTAGAGCAGCAACGCACAACGTGTGTGTGTTGGGAGAAACCTTCATCAAGAGGCCCACAAATTCTCTTGACGTTGCTGGACCAGTAGGGTGCTCCGCACCTACTGATCCTGTCCGTTTTTTGACGGTCCATCCCGTTGTTGCGTCTTTGCACCAACAGCGGACCCGCGCCCCTGCCTCTTTCTCATGGGTGGACAGTCACTACGCCCAGTGTTGCGAGACACTGGACGAGGGGCACTACACTCGTAAGCGTAGTGTCCTGTCTTCTGACATCTGTTGCATTTCTGCAACTTCTTGTAGTCTGTAGAGCGAGCCTTCTCGCTCTCTACATAACAGAGTTCCATCGGCTCTGGACCTCCGTTGTCATATCGTCTCGGTTGAAGATATGATGTCGAGCTGGCGCGAGCCTGTCTCAGACTGAAGTCTTCCTGTTCCGCAATGGAAATGGCTTGTTCTAGTGAATCTAGTTCAAGCCGGGACAGGTGAGTCTTGACGGGACCATCCGCAAGACCCTGCATGAACACCGAAACCAACGTGTGTTCATCCACCGGATTGGAACTTATACAACTCGTGAGATGTCGTATATGTTGAGCGTAAGCGTGCACATCACGCTTACCCTGCTTGAGCTTCAAGAGTTCGGTTCGAGCTCTGAACTCAGCTCTAGGCGGTTCAAACGTTTGTCTGAGCCGCGACTTGAAGACTTCCAACGACCCAAACGCATATGGGTCGTGCAACTTGAGCCCCAGTGCCCAAGTCTTGGCACGTCCTGCCAGATTTGACTGGGCAAATGCAACTTGCATATCCCCGTCGTCGATGCGACGCGCCCTTATGGCGTCATCCAATTCGACGAACCATCTCAAGAGGGAGTCTTCTTCGACCCCCCTATATTTGGAGATGTCAATCTTCAAGGT